GATAGTCTCAGAAGAAAACCACCTGGATAAAGAGAACATTCAATCAGATGTATATTTGTTTTTCAAAAAGCCATATTACTTGTTAATTACATGTCCCACAAAAGAGTAAAAAAATCTGCAAATAAGTAATATGTCATTCTTCATACATAAAATGCTACTACTGTCCCACCATCAGTAAAGCTTTTTAGTGACAGTGATAGATGTGTACTGAAAGATACAAACATACAAATTCTCTCCCTGGGCAGCACAAAGACCAACACATCATAAATGGCTCATTTAGTTTTGGATAGGAAATATTCATATAGAACAGAACTAAGCTTACTGGCAACACGGAGTTATAACTAATGGCTCATTTAGTTTTGGATAAGAAATATCCAAACATCCAAATAGAACAGAACTAAGCTTACTGGCAACACAGAGTTACAACTAGGTGACCATATAATTTATCATTCAAACTGGAATTCTTTTGAGAATGTAGTGGAACACTATTAATAATTATGCTGAGACTGCCCAGGCAAAATAGGACCCTCATTGTAAGCCACGATCTTGATCATTAGTGCTAATGAGCTAAGCCAACAGGGACTAACAATGAAACCTACTATTGTGTTTGTCATATTCAACTATTCAGGGTGTTTTTCAGTACAGTTTACATTATGTTCTCTGTAGAACCTAGAGATTTCTTTTTCCTGAAAGTATTTAGAAACAAGGGTTCTCCCTGATGAACGATTTATGTATGTTTGATGAATCCTATGAATTACTAAAATTTGGCTTGACAGGAAACAACTCACCAGAACAGAACTTTGGAAATTAAAAACATAATTCCTAAAATGAACACTCAGTTGTTTTATAAACTAAAGTATTTCTTGGACGTTGCTGAAAACCATATCAGTGATCTTGGCAAGCAAATGAAAGAGCTACCTCACGATAACCAAAACCAAACCCATTGCTGTCAAATCGATTCCGACTCATTGTGACACTATAGGACAGAGTAGAACTGCCCCACAGGGTTTCCAAGGAGTAGCCGTGGATTTGAACTGCCGACCATTTGAGTAGCAGCTGCAGCTCTTAACCACTGCACCACCAGGGCTCCTTTTGCTAAGGGAAGAATTGGAATAGAGATCACAGTGACAAGATAGGAGGCACGAAGTGGTACAGATCAGGCAAAAGAAAGGTGCAGATGAACAAACAACAGTCAAAGAATAACAAAAGAAAGATGACCCCAATACCCTAATATTCACTTGTATCCTATTGATAGACTCACTACAGCAGGAAACTGGGAAAAAGGGCATCAGAAACATTCTCTAAGATTGCCACCTTCCGAGGATCATCTACTTTTGACCCCACTTCTACGAATTTGAAATGAGGTATGGTATACATAAGCAAAATTAAAAGTACTTTAATAATGTGAATAGCTATGGAAAAACATCCCATGATTTTAAGATGAATGTTCTCTTCTCAAGATTTCTGACATATCTAAGCAGGTGTATAACATCAGAATTAATAAATTATATTGATCTACCAACCTACACTAGGCATAAACCATATTACCTTGAAATTAAGGCTCTCATTTATAATGGTTTTCCGAAGTTTTGCTAAAGCATCAGATTCCTCGGTGGCATTCACAAAGTGGTAATCCCGTATTGCAGGGAACCCTCGCTTGTTCAAGAGTTCCTTGGTGATTTTACTTATGCAGGCTTTGCGTTGCTTCTCATCAGAAACATCCAAATGTGTGCCAACAAGAATCACAGGGGAAGAAGAAGCACGTGCCTACGGGGAAAGACACAAAATACTCTGCTGTATGTTTTGAAATTGGGACTGCTTACATCTCTGTTGATATTCGCTTTCTATAAAATTCACTTGAATAAAAATGAGAAATTAGAAACCTTCAAGAAAAGCAAAGGAACAACTATCTTTAGTTATTGATGAATTTGGGAATAGCTCAATCAATGTAACAATTTCCTTTCTTAGAACTAAGAAAAAATTTAAACTTAAGAAATTTTAAGTCATTTTCTCTGCTCCCTCTTAATTCAATTACTGCCACTTTTCAAGTGGTCTGAACTGCAGTAGCAGTCAGAGTTTGAATCCACCAGCTGCTCCTTGGAAACACTATGGGGAAGTTCTACTCTGTCCTATATGATCACTGAGTCGGAACTGACTCAACGGCAATGGGAGGGGTAGTCTAGTTTGGTTTTATTTCCCACGCCTTAAAATGGATTAATCTTTAAGTGTGCTTTGGATTTCTGAGTAAAATAAGCATTTGATAAAAAAGTTATATCAAAATAACATAATGTTTTATATTTTTTTCTTCCTCATCTATGAATTTAATCTCCTGAATTCATTTTGAAGTCATTCAATATAGAGACTACAATGGGGGGGGCATGAAAACAAGTAGTACTGTCACTGTAATATTTGCTCACTTCTGCTAGCTACACCTAATAAAGTCAAGAAAAAAAGAAGTTAAAAAAAAAAAAACCAAAATAACAAAACAATCTGTATGCAGGCAGAATATACGCCAAACTGTCAAGACATATCGTTTTAAGGTCAGAACAACTCATCAGCTCTTCACTTTTACTTTAGACACAATTCTAAAAAGCCATATTATTTAAAGGAATAACTGACGAGATGGCACCAAGGGAGAAGGTGCAAAGAGGAGGTTCCAAATATAAGAACATATTAATTTGGGACCATTTAAAGGTGTAGGATTGAAGGAACAGTACTAAATTGCCACTGAGGGCATCACTGTTTTGTGATGAATGGATAGCTTTTCTTTGCGGTTTATTTTAAGTTAGGAAAATGTACGTTCCACTTAAAAAATTAAATGATCAAAAATGGTTTTAACATATATATTTTCTAATTCTATAGGTTAAAAGGATTTTAGGTATCTATAATACTCATCAATATGGAACACACTATTTTGGTCACGAGTTAATTACTTTGAAAATGTACCAACTCAAAACTTCAGTGCTTCCAACTTTCTTTTAAAAAATGATTTGAAGAGACTGTTTAAGCAACTATTTGCCCTAAAAATTACCTTACAAACAAAAAACAATGAAATTATTTTCTATTTTCAAATAATTGTATTAGATCACCTTTATATTGAAGAGCCAAGGCTTCATTGCATCAACTTCAGCTTGTCCTTTGCTGAGGTCATAGACAGCAAGATACAATGCTCGTTGAGTCATGAAGTGGGGATGAGTACTGTAGAATTCCTCACGACCTAAATAAAGATTGCGGACTTTTTTTTTTTTAGCTTTCCAAACAATAGGCAAGAATCCTTAAAAATATTCTTTTAGGCAATACTATTTACTCTTTAGCATAGTGAGAAGAGAAAAGCAATCAACAAGGTTTAAAAAGCTATACTTGGGTTTTTACTAGTGATTGACAACTTTTAGCATATGTGTCAGCAACCATCCAAGTACTCAGCTTCAGCTGCCATTGATTGGTTCCTAACATTTCCTCTCCATGCACCTCTCCTTCTGGTGGCAAGAGTAAAATTAGAAGTAAACGGCTTTGGAATAATTCCATAGGTTCCACCGTCTCTGTTTGCAGTCTTGGAACGGAAAACTCACATTTTAAATCCCTTTAAACTCAAATTTTAAATCCCCATTCTAAAGAAAAGTAAGACTAAATTAAAAAGTCTAGAGAAATAAATACCCGCAAAATCCCACACATTTAGAACCAGGTCTTTCTTCCGTTTGCCTCTTATTTGGATAGGCCAGTCTTTCACATCGATGCCAACTGTGGCACTTTGCATTCCAAGATCTGATTTCTTGGTTTTCATTAATTGCTGCAATAAAGTGGTTTTACCACTCCCAGTATTCCCCACAATCATAAGTTTCATTCGGTTATAGGGCACAGCCTTTTTTAACCGCTGTTGAAGAAACCTGGTATTTGAAAGACAAAAATAAAATAATAAACCACTTAACAATGCATTTGAGATTTAGGTGAGTTCTTATGCATTGATTATTTTAAATTTCATACTGTTCTAAAATATACAGTAGGCAAAAGAGTGCATAGCTCATATAACTAATGAAGTGCATGCTTTTAAATGTAGTGTGAATGCATATAGTTTGTTAGTGATGTTTGTTAGTGATAATGATCGGCAGCATTATCAAACATAATGACATGTTACACTACCACCAGGAATAATCAAAATGCCAAGATATACTTATAATACTCATTAGAACACAGTACATATATCTGGATTTCTTTAAAGAGTACAAATAAAACTCTAAATTTATCTAAATATAAAATTTTACTAAGTCCATATGACACAGAACCAAGATATAATACATACGTATACTGTTATACTATACTTTGATAGTAGTAAAGTCATATTGGTTACCTTATATATGTATTTGTGTATATATATTCATATATGGTATATAAGAAGTACAGATATATACACAGGTATATATCATATGTACACATATATATGTCTTATACGGACAGTGAGATTACATTGGCTACATTATAAATAAATACATATAAGCTATTACATTATCAACAGATGTTAACATACTGCTACACCTAATCAATCTTTATGCTAAAATAATTAAAACTATCTAAAATTGCTATAGGTGGCTTAACAAAACCACCTTTAAAATAATAGGTTTAAAATATTCTCAAATTTATAATGAATATAGAGTGATATATTTTAAACTATACTAAAATGTTGGTATTTTTAAAACAGCAAACTACATTATAAGTGAATTTTTGAGACTATTGACTAATCCATAACTAATAGGAATCTAACCAACATTTCTGACAATCTGACTAAAAAGCTACATTATTTGTATTGATGCCTTTGATGCTTTAAAAAAATAAGATCTGACAGATCAGATATTGAAATAACTCATTTTTTCACCCAAAAAAACTCATTGCCATTGAGTTGATTCCTACACAGTGTCTCATACACAACTTAATTTACGTTTTCACCACCAATAGACAAGAAAATCAATGGTTCAAATGTATATTTCTTAAGAATTGAATTCACCAAAATAAAAATAATTTATAAAAAGCAAACGATGCCTCCAATTTCTAAACTCTTCCCGGTCTTCTGTCTAAAATTTTTTAAACACATTTAAAAATACATAGTTATGTAGTGGTTTGATACTACAGCATAGTACATTCAAAATTGGTTCTTCTAAATTTGTAGTAGTAACTAAACCAATTCTTACATGAAAATCTTCTCTAGTTTCAGGGACAAAAATCCACAGGAAATAATTATGTAGATCAAGGATAGTCATACTTAGCACAATGGTGACAAACCCTTCCCTTTCAAATTAAGACAAGCTAAGGAGATTAGAAAACCTCATAAAAAGAGACAAAAAAGGTAAATTTAAATATGCAAGAGAGAATTAAGTAAGTGTAGTCCATTTGTAACTCAACAACTATCTATTATGTACCAGGCTATGTTAGTTAGGTGCCAAGAATCGAATAGTGAGCAAACAGCCATGGTGCCTGCTTTGGTGGATATTATAGTCAAGTATATATTGGGAAGTGATAATTGAGCTGAAGCCTCCAAGATAAATATAGACAGGAGTAACTTAATGGAAAAGAGAACAGATGATTTCATGAGTAGATAACAATAAGACTAACCTACTTGAAATAGAACAAAGGATGGATAAATTCTAATATCAAAGATATTTGAAGTCATTCAAGTGTAAAGACCAGAAACAGTGACATCTGGGAAGCTTGATTGTTTCAAAAATGTTCAAGGTGTAGGTTACTAATAGGCAAAATCAACGTTAGTAATTTGATATCATTGAAGTAACTCTAATACCTTAAGATATAATAAGCATTTGTTAAATATTTGCTACATGAAATGTCATGTGAGAAGTTATACACTGCTCTATTTCTTCAGACTGTTTAATTAATAACAAGAGACCAAACAGTAAGAATATTTATTTCGTTTCAGAGTCTATTTCTACCGAAAAGCATGATTCAGAAGAGAATCCATTCTCTCAACACTAGCTTGGGTAGGAAGAAATGGAAAGCCTCTGCAGTGGTACCATATAAACCCATTCATTTAATGCAAATATTGACACATAGGATGTTAATGTTAAATAGCACTATTTATTTTGCCTAAATTATAATTACATAGCCATAAAAGAAAGATCAAGGAAATCTGAAACAAATGTAATAAAAACAAATAGAAATAAAATTATCTAACCTTATGATGTCTTTGGCTTTACATCCTATATGTTTAAAATCAAAATTAAGACGCAGTTCATCCAAAGGAAGATCCCATATTTTGCTTAATTTTCCCATTTCATTGGGAAAGGATCTCAGTTCCAAGTTGTAACTAACATCAAGAGATGTCAGATTTTCAAGGCAGCCAATCTCAGGAGGAATCTTAATGAAATAAAAAAGGGCAAAACCTGTTGGTGGGAAGGAAGAAATGTGTGCTGCCCAGAAACAAGATGCTGACAGGAAACAAGAAAAGCCTCCTAGATTCCATCAGCAACTTTCAACAGAGTTCTAAAACTTTTCCAAAGTCTTTTCCAAGTTTTTTATGATAAAAGTTTAAAAACAAAAAACATAGGTATAAAGGACTTACCCAACATAACCTATGTCACTTATAATTTTGAGAAACCCAATCTCCCTTGGTAACATGATTCATCTCACAACATTAAAGATAAAAAAGTTCTTATAGTTACAAAAATCCTTTAATCAGTGGCTTCATTCTGCCCCCTCACACTGTATTCTTAAATAAAATTATAAAGGTCCAGTCACTGCAAACTTAAATACAACCTAATGTTCTTAAAATACAATTAAATGACTACACTTTTAGTGGCATCCTAATCAAAGATTTTTTCCCCTGTGTTCCAAATTTTTAGCCAATATATGTTACTTTATAAAATATAAAACATTAATTTGCTGGCAAAAAAAAAAAAATCAAGTACCAACAAGTATTCACAGTTATTCCTAACCTCACAGTTTCAGGCACTTAATTCATCTTTATTTTTACAGGCAATAGGCTTGAATTTGACCAAAAAAAATTTTCTGAGAAAAATGGATAACCAATTTCAGATTTATAACAGAAGCAACAGAGAGAAGCAAAGGAGGCTGACCTATGTTGCTTGCTCTCTGTTGCTTATAACTGTCAAAGACATTTGGGCAGCGGGGGAGCACAGTGGAGGTATGCAGAAATTTAAGAATGTAGGAAAGAATGTCAGCGGAAAAACACAGGACATATATGGCCCAGAGACAACTAGGGAAATGTAGAGAACACCTGAGAGTCTGTTAACAGAGCAGACATTTAGTGATAGAATGACACACTTAAAGCATTATATGTATTCATAATTAAATATATATACTTGTAGAATTCCTCAAAAACAAAACACACAAAAAAATGGTTTTTAAAGAAAATTCTGCGGTTTTACTCTACCCATTTACCTCAGGGTAGGATTAGAGCTTATTCAAAAAGAAAGAAACACCAATTAAATTTTAAAATGATAATTTGTGATAGTGCAAATTAGGAAAGCATATCTTAAAGTTGGCAATAATTTTAAACAAATAAAGATGACCTCTTACCTCTTTCAGTTTATTACGAGAGAGATGTAGTTTCTCTACCCTAGACCATGCATGTGCTTTCTCACTCAAGTCCAAGATGCTGATCTGATTAGAGCTAAACAAGAGTTCTCTTAAGTTCAAAGATTTCCAGTGTGCAGGGCCCGGTAGATACTGAATATTATTGCTGCTCATATCTAAGGACCGCAAACTAAAACAATAAAATGTCAAGATAAAAACCAAATCAGTGTTTTCAAAATACATGAATTAACATCACAGGTAATTTTCACAAGACAGAAACTCAGACATAACTTTAAAACTAACATTATTTACACATAAGTGTACATGTGTGTTTGCATGTATATATAGGTTTATATGGAAAAGAGCTAGAAAAAAGGCAAGTTTTACTAGGAATGATATTTAAATAAATAATGCCTATTAAAAACAAAATTGAGGTCCAATTTCTCTACTTCAGATACTTACATATATTAATCTAAGAATGACAGAGAAACCTGTTTTAGAAATGTTTGTGGTGCATGAGAAATTGTTGTTGTATACCGTCAAGAGGATTCCAAGTCATGGAGACCTATAGGACAGAGTAGAACTGCCCCATAGGGTTTTCCAGGCTGTAATCTTTCCGGGAGCAGATCACCAAGTCATTTCTCCTGCAGAGTTGATGGTGGATTCCAACTACCAACCTTTAAGTTAGCAGCTGAGCGCTTTAACCATTGTGCAATCAGGGCTCATATGAGAAATAACTAACAAATGCAAAAATGGTCATTAAAATTCTACACAATATTCACAAAGTTTAACCTTATTTCTCTTTTTTAATTTTTGCTCATTACTGGGAGGACTCTTCAGAAATTGAGTCCTAGAGTTAATTAATATTGGGTATGGGCATTTCTTCTACCAGTTTATCTCGGTATTGATAAATATTGTAACACTGAGCATGGTTCCTTGCATACAGTAAGCCTTCAATGCAAATTGATTGCTTTCACACAAGAATAGCTACCCAAAGTTTGTAGAAAATAGCAGAAAAATATGAGTCACGTATAAGTGCATGTGTGAAGAAGAATAAAGACACTCAGCGATTTTGGTACTTTTGACTATGGAAAGGTCAACTGGACTTTTACAATTCTATACTGATCCCCTTTAATCCACATATCTGAAGCATGATGAATTAATTAATTCTAAGCTCACTTAGTGATACTGCTTGCTAGACAAAGGTTCAGGTCTGCAAAGCAACATTTATGCTTTTATTTTAAAATGTTGCTGGATTTTGCCTGTTATCTTATTAAAATGGGTGGAACACAAGAAAGCGAAGGTGACCTTCTTACAGATAAGACAATATGTCTATTATGGATTGACTTGTGTCCCCCAGAAAGGTATGTTCAAGTCCTTATGTGACCTTATTTGGAAATAGGGTCTTTGCACATGTAATTAGTTAAGATGAGTCCTTTAGTATGGGTCCTAATCTCTTTAAGACTCTTTAAGAAATTAAGAGCCACAGAGGGAAGATGGCCATGTGAGGAAGGAGGCAGAGATTAGAGATCTACTGCTATGAAGGAATGCCTGGGGCTACCGGAAGCTGGGAGAGACAAGGAAGGATCTTCCCCAAGGGACTTAGGAGAGATCACGGCCCTGCCAATATCTGAATTAAGACTTTTAGCCCCCAAACTGTAAGACAATACATTTCTGTAGTTTTAGACCACATAATTTTCGTAATTTGTTATGGCAAACCCAGTAAACTAATACAAAGTCTAACAAACAATGTAGTTGAGACAAAGTTCATAATCAGTAGGCCTTCCAAAAGCAATGCCTCTTTAGCCTCAGTCAGAAATTAAGATGGCTGGGCAACAGTGTGCTCATTTGTGAAATAAAAGAACAAAATTAAAGAAAGAACACATAGAAAATGCCGGAAAGGTATGTCTGAAGGTGGTGTTTAAAGGTAAAGTCTGATTAGGGACTAGATAATATTTTTACTTCTCTAGACCTTCTTTTTGGCATGTATATCTTATTCAACTTTCATAATTACTTAACCTTCAAACACAGTAGTGGGAATATGTGGCATCATCTGTATTCTATAGGTGCCTGTATGTGAGAAACCACCAGCGTTTAATAACCGCGACTTTGGGCAAGTTATTTCATCTCTCTATGAAGTACTGTCCTCATTATAAAGTGGAGATAACAGCAGCTATATTATAGGATTATTGGGAACATTAAAGAGACAATTCACCGTAAAACAGTTAGAACTGTGTCTGACATATTCTAAGGCTGGATTTACATTAACTGTTATTTGTCTATTTGATATAGTCTATGGCTAGATTATAATTAACTATTATTTGCATATATACTTACATATTTGCACATATATACTTATGAATTAGTTTTATAATATATGCTACAATTAGAATAGAATTTAAGGGTGACAATACACTGAAAATCTTATTAATGTCTAAATGAAATTAACAAAAAATACACAAAAACCTGAAACTACATAAATTGTTCTATTTTCACCAAAAATCTCACTCAAACATAATTTAAGTATATGATCTCAAAGTTAATACTATATTGGCAACATACAACCTCTGAGAACATTGAATTTAAAAGTCAAAGTGATAGTCAATTTTATCTGATGGTAATAACGCAACAATTAATCAAATAATCCTAGTTTCTACACAGTGATACACTAAATTAATCCAAAAGTGTAGAAAAACAAAAACAAAGACAAAAAAATGACCTGAGTCTCCTGTTTACTGAAAATCAAACATTCATATATTTAAAAACAGTAATCTGAGATTATACAGAAATCAATTGCATTTATGTGCCTAAATTGAAATCATGTTTCTGAAGGTTCAGTTCCAGCTGATATGTTTTTAAAATTAAAACAATAAACTTACTGTGGTAGATTTAAAATTGCTTCTGGAATACATGTAAATTTGTTTTGAGATAATTTTAGGCTTGTTATGGAAGAAGGCAAGAAAGGCATTGCAGCTAAAAGAAAATAAAAATAAGATTATGGACATTTTCACCATTTTAACTAGGTTTCTGCTAGATTCAACAATAAAAACAGCTACCAATGATGTGTTACTTTAATTTCCACTCTCATACTGACAATAAAAAAAAAAAATCTATTTTTTAAAATAAGGTAACATCCTTAATGCCACAACTAAATAATAAAACAGTATACTATTGTTATCAGAATTGTTTAATCTGAAAGCTAAATAACTGTTTAAATATAAATTAATCCTCCTAATATGTGTACAAAGTAGAAATTAGGATATTCATTTCAAATTATGTATGATGTCACTATGTGAGATACACTATAGATTAGTTCAAGTTACTTGTAAGAAATTATAACAAAACACTTTCAAACACTTCATTAACCTCTAGTACCTCCGAATATGACTTTATTCGGAAATAGAGTCACTGCAGATATAATTAGTTAAGATGAGGTCATTGCTCTATAGGCAATATAGTATAAGGATAAAAGTTCTCCAGAGTATATCGCCTAACAAGTAGTCTATGAGTGTTACTAAAAGTATTCTTTGATCATATGATCATAAGAGTTTGGGAAACATTAGGTAAAATAAAGTGAAATATCTGAAGAGTCCCCAGTATGCTAATAAATATTATAAATTTTCAAGAGGAAAATAGAGTATGTGGTACCTCCTAGGAATAAAATTCCATGGAATACAATTGAAACACTGTGACAAATCATACAGCCTTTTTTCTCATTTATAAAATAGTGCAGCTAGACCAGAATATCTCTGAGATTCTTTCAAGATCTAACAATCTCTGTTTCTATGAAAATGGCTTGAGAAATAATTTCATAGCACTTTCAAGGTTAAAAATATGGATTATGCTTTATCTAGAAAAGCTTCAAGAGTCAGAATGTTCCAGGACACCTCTAGTAGCTTTCTGCCGAAGAAGCAGGAAGATACAAACTAAACTTCACGTATTTCCAAAAAGCATTTGTAGCCCAATAAACTAAACAGTTCTTAAGAAACTTAAGAACTAAAGAGTCTCAAGGTTCAGATGCAAAACAAAAATACTCATAAAATCAAAGATCTGAAACTTTGTTTCACATGGGATTATTTTAATGGTTAGTGGTCCCACTCAGATGTTACCTCCCTAGGACATCATTTCAAATGTGAGGCTATTTCTGAAACCATTAAGTGTAGTAGGTTCATAAAGATTTTTGAACCTAGGTTCTATTCAGACTTACACAACAACTAGTTAATTGCATCAATGTGTCACACACACACACACACACACACACACACACACACACACACATCTCAGTGCTTCAATTTCCTCAGTTAGTCAGGCAGAGGTCATAATATCTGTCCTACCCTACAAGACTGTTGTGAGAATGAGATGCCATGACAGGGTCCTTTTGGAGGCTCTTCCTTCCAGATCCAAAATAAACGTCATGGACACCGAGATGCTTCCCTGACTCCACAGTCTGGATTAGAACCCCTTGAGTTACCCTCATAATACCCTGAATCTTTTCCTCACAGCACTTTACATATTTACATTTATTTGTGTCATCATTTGTTTAATGTCTGGCTTCTGAGCTTAACTAAGTTTCTTAAATACACGGACTGTGAGTGAACCACTCTATCCTCAGTTCCAGGCTCAAGGTAAGTACATGCTCAGTATTCAGGAGTAAGAGAGGCAGAGAAGAGAGAGAGAGAAGGAGGAAAATACTATATAAATTAACATGGCTTTTATCTTTATTTGTTTCTGAAAGTTACGTAAGATAAAATATTTTTAAATAAATAGTCAAATTTTATTCTGCTACTAAATAGCATTAAAACTTGTTTTACCAAGCCAGGTGTAGAACATAGAATAGAATAACAAGGGTGGCAAAATGCGTGTGGTCTCCAGTGCCATTAAAAAAAAATAAAACATGGGGAGTTCCTGTTTAATTGCTATAAAAAGTAACTGCCCCTTAAAATTAGAACTTTCAGAACTAGAAATTTTAACATTTTCAGATGAGCTACAAATGTATATAATTCCCTAGTATTATCTCACATACTAGAACACAGCATATTCTCTGATTTTTTTTTTTAAAAGTGATGCTCATAGTATCTATTACTGTAATATGTTGGCACAGAACAGGAGCTCATTGAATACACATTAATTTTATAATCTGAAAACTATAAAATGATTGATTTGTTAAAAAAAATCAATAATAATAATAGTAATTACACTAGTAATCAAAACAATTTCTGAAGAAACTTCAGTATGAAACTCAGTGTTCTAGTGTAAGGATGGTTAACCTCAGCAAAGGCAGCCATGTGCGCTTTCAGTTTAATAGTTCAGTCTAATAGGAAACACAACGTAATGACTACTTGTAGGACAAGGAATTGCCATTTTAGCACACAACAATAGAAACCTGATAACTCTTTATTTCACGCTCCAGCACAATATTTAAACTGAAACACCACCTTTAATTCCCCACATAAAATATGCATATGTGATTCATCCTATAATACTTAGAAGCCTGGTAAGGAGGAGACTCACACAGAACACTTACCAAGAAAATTTATTCTGGCACTGAAACTCTCCACTTTAGGACAAGCCTCAAGGAAATTCTCTGACAGGGATGAAATGTGGTTTTTACTAAGGTTTAAGACCTTCAGTTCCTTCAGACTCAAGGGGGAACATATTCCTGATATTTTATTTCTAGTCATAAGAAACAAAATGAGGATTAAGTTACATACTGGTATGCTTTGAAGAAACAATCAAAACAATTTACCAATCGCATCAAAGCAGATTTATTAATTTTGAAATTAGTTGTTGTGAAAATGTTAAGTCAGTTGGTAGAAGCTGTAATATTAACTGCCTCAGTCTTTTATCATATTACTGTTTAAACTCCTAATGTCAGCACATTTTATCAATCTTATGAAACGTCAGTGAAAGAAAGCCCTTTTGTCTTTAATGAATACCCTTCTTACCCTTCTAAAATGAGCTGCTCCAGCTTCTCTACCACAACAGCGAGGTTCTCAGGCATAGAAGACAGCTGATTATATGACATGTTAAACTGTTTCAGGGTTGGACACCTTACCACAGGATCCAAAATTACAGAGGGCCCGATGTCATTCCGAGAGACATCAAGGTTGGCAATGCAATTCATTTTCAACAAGTAAGAAGGAAATGCTGTAAATTTATTGCTATGCAAGTCCAAATGGGTCAAACACTTCAGAGTCTGAAAAGATAATATTTAAAAATTCTAAAATGAATCATCTGAGAAATTTATTACTATGCCAGTCCAAATGGGTCAAACACTTCAGAGTCTGAAAAGATAATATTTAAAAATTCTAAAATGAATCATCTGAGAAATTTAAGCTTAGTTAAAATCTCTGCCTTCTACACCTTAAGTAGCTAGAATCAAGAATTATTTTTTTTAAATCATAAACAGAATCCACAACAGAACTTCAGTATACTATCTCCAACTGTCTCTGCTATAATATAGGTAAAACCAGGCAAAATATAAAGGTAGACTGTCAAAAGCAAAATAAGGTTCAGAGTTTAACAAAGTTGTTTTTGTAAATCATTCCTGCAAAGAGCATAATATGGATGCAGAATTGCCTTAATAAACATCTGAAGCTGAGTAAGCCTTAATAAACATTTGAATTAGTGATTTAATGAATGTGTAAAACAACATAATCCTGAGAATACATTTTTTTAAATACTATGTTTTAAAAACATATATTTTAATATAAATAAGATTTAACCATAAAAGTAGTCATTATATTAATAAATGTTTCATTTTAGAACCTCCCTCTCTTAAATCTTCTTAATGAAACTTTTTGTTTTAAATTTCTATTTTTAAGCTATTCCTATCTTTACAATGACAATGACAGATCTTCCATTTACATATTATCTCAATTTTTTGAAGTCTTTGGTGTTGATTACTGTCAAAGGGCTAAAATACCAAAAACAATCATATTTCTCTGCTCCTCTTCATGTGTCAACATATTTATTCTCTCAAAGAATTCTAAAAATTTGAGGTGGTTTAGAGGTGTTATGGATGGTTCTTCCTCCAAGAAGTTGTTTTCTTGTGTTTTCAAAATTTCCACTTTGATTTTAGATTCTACCAGCTACTCAGGAGAACAGATTTTAAAATTATTTATTCCCAAAGTTTAATCTGGAAATATTTTTGTAAAAAGAGGCACAATTGTGTCCCTTCAGGCAATACACAGAAGTTCCACCTAGCAGTAACATTTTGAAGTTTCCCCAAGAAAAGTTTCTAAGGAAGTAAGTAGCTGGTCCACTCATTGATGCCCTAATACATCACCTACTCACGCTCTCTTCAAATTCTCTTTATACTGACCTAGCTGAATCTATGTTTCCTTTCACTTAGTCATTTAACAAACATTTATTGAAGGCCTACCAAGTAGGGATTAATGTATGCCTGCCACTTGAGAGATTAGGAATTAATGTAGGGATTAATGTATGCCTGACACTTGAGGGATTAGGAATTAATGTATGCCTGCCACTTGGTAGGCCGTCAATAAATGTTTGTTAAATGAATAAGTCAGCTGCTAACCAAAAGGTCGGCAGTTTGAATCCACTCAGCCACTCCTTGGAAACCTATGTGGCAGTTGTACTCTGTTCTACAGGGTGCCTATGAGTCAGAATCGACTCAAAGGCAAAGGGCTTGGGTTTGGGTATTTATAGGGTCACTATGAGTCTGAATCAACTCGATGGTAACAGGCTTTTCTTTTCGTTTTTTTTTAAACTATATATCCAGCCTAAGGAGGCACTGGGGATAGACATGAACTAGCCTGAAACAGTTCCTCTTCTCAAGAAGTTCACAGTTTAGTGAGGGCTTGTTGTTGTTAGGTGCCATGGAGTCGATTCCGACTCACAGTGACCTATGTACAACCGCCATGTTCTGCGCCATGCTCACAATCATTGCTATGTTTGATCCCATTGTTGCAGCCACTTTGTCAGTCTATCTCCTTGAGGGTCTTCCTCTTTTTCACTGACCCTCTACTTTACCAAGCTGATAATATATCCGATATACGAGACAAAGTCTCACCATCCTCACTTCTAAGAAGCATTCTGGCAGTACTTCTTCTAAGACAGGCTTTTTTGTTTTGTTTTGTTTTAGTGGGGGCAATATACATTAATTCAAAATTTTTAAGTGAATGAGTTTTAGGGTGAAAGCATAGAGTTCTATGGAAATGTAAACCAGAGGTGGGTACCCAACCTTGTCTGTAGCGAAGAAGGGGAGGAGAAAGTAAGCAGAATGTGAAAAAAATGATATTTAAACCAAGACCTAGGTGACATGGAGGATTCAGCCAGGCAAAGATGTGGAAGAGGGAAAAAGGACACATTTTAGATAGAGGAAGAGTGGAAGCAGGCTTATCTTTATTCTTTCTCTCTCCAGATATATAAACTTTCTTTGAAAGACACCATTAAATATACTTAGAATTCATGCCATATTGCTTATAAAAGGTCACAAAATTATAGTAAACGTTACAGATTAGAAAAAGGGAAAATGTGTTCACAACGAAACTAAGTTACGAAAAAAAAAAAACCGCAGGCATAATCCTTTCTCAAACTTTTAAGTTCAGTCCAAAAATTCAGTTTAAGAATTTAAACATTCGTATTGAGATAATTATAATTTAAATTTATAATTGTATCTTCTTTGGCTATAAATACCATTCTGAGGCATAATACATAAAAATGATGAAAAAAGTCAATACTCAGAGGACTATCCTATCAGCCCTGGTGGCGCAGTGGTTAAGCATTCGGCTGCTAACCAAAACGTCGATAGTTTGAATCCACCAGCCACTCCTTGGAAACCCTATGCGGCAGTGCTTCTCTATCCTACAGGGTCGCTGTAAGTCGGAATCAACTTGACGGAAATGGGTTTGCGTTTTTGTTTCTACCCTATTAGCTGACTGTTTTATACTTTGTTTAACCAAACAGGAACACTGAGGAAAAAATCAAATTTTAAGTTTCATATAATTTTAGAACTTAAAAATGCCTTAGGGATCATTTAATTGAGCCTCTGCATTTTGCAGATAAGGAAAGGAAGGCTTAGAAACAGTCCAAGTGACACGTTCTTATTATTATAAAATTGGTAGCTGAGCCAGAGCCAGTACTATCAAACCATGTCTAATTCTAGTTTACCTAACTTAATTTAAACACTTAGTAAAAACTTAGTTTTCTGACTAGAATTAGATAATTAAAGGCATAATTAACATGTAGACTTGATATACTTTAACATGTACACTATATCATCTGGACAGAACCTAGAAATCATTTTTAAGCAGCTCTCCATTTCCAGTGATGTAGTTAATTGCCAGTGAGTTGATTCTGACTCATGATGACCCCATGTGTATAGAGTAGAACTGCTCCACAGGGTTTTCAAGGCTGTGACCTTTCAGATGCAGATTGCCAGGCCTATCTTCCGAAGCACCTTTGGGTAGGTTCGAACCACCAACCTTTTGGCTAGTAGTCAAGCACCTAACTGTTTCCACTACCCAAGACTCCTGTCCATTTCCATTGCTTGCCCTCAAAAAACTTTCTGAACACCACACAGACTAAGATATCTGTGTGAAAACTGGAAGAATGGAAAAATTACTTCCTATTGACACAAAAGCAGAACCTTCTTTTTCAAGATTTAACCATAGTAAATTAGATATAAATGCAAAAGCTCTTCAAATATCCTGAGTGGTATAAGGATAAATTAAATTACTTCACAAAGCTGTTGTGGAAAGCTTGAGAGTGCATTCTGGTGAAGCTCCAGCTTTTCAAGATGCTCCAAATGACCACTTATGCAGCATTTCTGGCTTAGGGCATCAATATCTCTTAGTTCATTTGATGAAAGGTCTAAGGATGTAATATATTCTCTCTCAGAAGCCAGGGAAGAAGTGCTGTCTGAATTCCTCATATGGGATTGAAGTTTTGATGACCCTTTTGTCAAAAACAAAGAAACAACAGAAATACAAGCAAATAACTTAAATTCACTTGCTAAATGTTTACTGAGCACCTACTAGTGTCAAGCTCTCCTCTAGGCGCTGGAAATTAAGCTGAAAACCAAACTATGGAGCTTATATTCTAGTGGCAGATAAACAGTATATAACTATTTAATATTAATTTTAATATATCAGGAAGCATAAGTAGAATAAAAAATACACTTGAAGAAGGGGATACAGAGTAGAATTGGTGGGATTATTATTTGCATTTCAGAAAAATTATGGGAAGGATCAAAATGTCCAGTGTAATACTCATAAAAGGTAAATTTTTAAATCTATGAATGTATTTCATTCTTCTATAGTCTGTTGAAACATTAGATGAATACAACTTGAAATTGATGAAATTGGCACTAAGAAAATTTGAGCAGAGAAAATTTAACAAAGCACTGTATTCTTTCCCAACTTATCTATTTACTTATGATTATTTCCAAATACATACTAAGTGAATCATCTGAAGATAATATTTTTCTTCTTCGTTTCAGCAAGTCTTCTTGATCGAAAATAGGTCCCTATTAAATAAAGATGTTTAAATAAAATCACTGTCATTTTTTTGGAGGAAAAGAAAATATTTCATATGGACACACCCATGAAGTTTTAATAGGAAAATGTTATTTATAATTATGATAAATATAAGCAGATACAGAGAAGAGCCCAATCATGAAGATAAAATAAAACAATCCATTTTAGTATAAAAATGACCTTAGGAAGAAAGTACCTACTCTTTCTTCTTTACTTTAAATATAAGGACATTGAAAAGCAGGGAGATTGAATAACAAATATATATATACATATAATTTCACTCAACAGCCAAATTATTTTTTCTTACTAAGTTGTTTATATAAGTTAGAATTGGCATATATGAAGACTGAAACTTAATTTAACCTATTCATTTATAAAAATTCATTTTGCCCACTTGATCTAGAATCAACGTAAAAGAAATCTCATATTGTTTGGCACTGAATTCTGATCAAAATTAGAGCATAGGTTAGCGTAGATCTTACCAAGTGAACCTAAAAATACAGTGACTCTCAACATTCCCCACTAGAATTACCAAACCCCTGATGTAAATATGCCAGAGTCCTTCTATAACTGCTAAACATACACGAGGTTGAAATAATCATAATTTTCTAAAAATTAAATAATTTTCATTACACAAAATAAATGTATGTTTTGATAAACAATGATATTATGCTACTCTATCTTGCTCAGTGTCCTTCAGGCTCCTATCTGGTTTTCTCAGAAATTATAATTTCTAGCTAGAGAGTTGATGGGGCCTAGCCACACCATTAGGCATAACTTAGCCTAGTTTCCATAGATACAGAGTTCTGAAAAGAAGGAAGAGTAAAACCACTTTTAGGTGTACGTAGTACATATATACCCCAAACAAATTCAAATTCATATTCTACATGCTCAAAAGTTTACAGGTGTGAATTTAATATAATTTAGGTCTAATTTGCTTTCTAATTATGTGTAAAAATTTTCATACATCAGGAAATTTCTGTACCAATAGTTCCTAGCTTCATCATATAATTTTAGTTATCAAGACATTGCCAGCAAAAGACATATACACACACACGCACACATACACACAAATCACAATTTAACTTACCAGTGAATTGGAATGCCTTTGCAAATTTGGTGAACAATGTTGCAAGGCCGGATCTCGGTAAAATTCTCCCACACTAATTGAATTTGACTTCTTTTTCACAAGAAATGATCCTTCACTTCCTATTTTCAAATGATAAAATAACATAAAGAACAGTAAGAAAGCTGACTAGATCATAAGATGCTAATATCATAGTTCAATCATGAAAGATTAAACATATTTTCATTAGTGGAAATTGCATAATCAATTCCCTTTGTAACATCTTTAAAATCAAAATGATAAACTATGTTGGCTTGTTATTTACAAAATTCAACTACATTTTTCTTCATCCATAAATATTTATAGAATGGCTGTCCTAGTCTAGACACTAAGTAAGTGATGAATAAAGACAAGCAGGGGAGAAAAGAAACAAACATGCCTTATAGAAGCTCATGATCCAGAGGGAAAGAGCCAAATAAATCAGTAGTTACACATGTTATAATAAATACACGCATGCACAGTAAGCAAGGAATGTTTATATGCCAGTCTGATCAATGTATTCTCTTCTGTTTCTCAGAATTCTTCCTAAAAATTTTTTATATCTTGCTTTAAATCTTGGAATCACTTTAAATTATTTAACATGTAGTACCTCTCAATTTGAATTCCATATTGATAGTTTAATGTATGGTCTGACATTAAACACAATTAGTTTAGTTGGCAGTAATTGTTTTGAGAGGAAAAAGGATGAGAACTAATTTTAAAATTATGGATTTTCAAAAAATAACGATCAATAAATCATATAATTAAGGATGAATAATGTGAAGGCATTATTTTAAAATTCTTTTCAAGGTTTTAAATTTTACACTTTTATATTGGAAGGATAAATAATTAAAGTGTCAAAAACAAATTAAAAAATCTACATACCCAAAGATCAACTTTAAAATACTCTATATAAATTTTGAAATTGAAACAAACAATTTCTACCTGGCTATATCAGTGCTTAGAAGTAGATGGATAGCCTTAAATGTTTTATAGAAAATAACAAAGGTCTAAAATAAGCGACCTAAGCTTCCATATTAAGAACCTATAAAAAGAAGAGCTAATTAAAATAAAAATAAGAAAAAGAAAGGAATTAATAAAATTAGAACAAAAATCAATGAAAAAGAAAACGGATAAACAATAGACAAAATCAATTAAACAAAAATCTAATTCTTTGAAAAGCTCAAGAAAATTGATAAACCATAAGCTAGACTGGTAAAGAAAAGAGAGAGAGACACAAATTACCAATGTCAAGAATGAAACAGCAGGCGTCATTACAGATCCTAAAAACATTAACAAGATAATAAGAGAATCATTATGAATAACTTTAAAGCAATAAGTCTGGTAACTCATGAGAAATGGACATATTCTCTGAAAGCCACCAATACAGTATGGTGTTGGCATGAGGATAAAGATAAAGATCAATGTAACAGAATAAAGAATGTAGGAATACTAAACCTGAGTCAAGATGAAATAGAAAATTCGAAACAACTATAAATCTGTTAGTTAGTAAATTTATAATCAAAAATCTCCCCACCAAAAATTCCAAACATAAATGTCTTTACTGTAGAATTCTATCAAACATTTAAGAAGAATTTAATACAAATCCTACACAAAGTCTTGCAGAAAATGCCTGAGTTGGGAATACTTTCCTAGTTATTTTAAGAGGCCACAATTATTCTCATGATTACGAGGAAATAAAAAACTAGACGCTAAATCAAATCTAATAATATATAAAAAGATAACCTAGAGCTGTAAGTTGGGTTTAACATTAGAAAATCAATGTAATTCACTCTATTAACAGAATAAACAGGAGAAAAATGACTATTTCAACTGATGCAGAAAAGCATTTTCCAACACCCATTACTGATAAAAAGGCTCACGAAACAAGGACTAGAAAGGAGCTTCCTTGGCCTGATAAAGGGCATCTAGGAAAAAGACTACAGTTAACATCATATTTAATGGTGAAAGACTGAATATTTCCCCCTAAATCTGGAAACCAGGAAAGAGGCTGTTATGGATTGAATTGTGCCCCCTAAATATACGTGTTGTAAATCCTAACCTCTATGCCTGTGGTTATCATCCCATCTGGAAGTGGGTTGTCTTTGTTATGTCAGTGAGACAGGATTAGTGTAGGATGTGTTTTGAGTCACTCTCTTACAAAATATAAAAAGAGCAGATTAGGACAAGCAAGTAGAGATGGGGGAAGAGAGATGCCAAGCCACATGAAGATCGCCCAGGAGCAGAAACTCAAAGAGACAAGGACCGGAGAGGGAATAACTTCCCCTAGAGCTGGCACCCTAAATTCAGATTTCTAGCCTCCTAATCTGAGAGAAAGTAAATTTGTTTGTTAAAGCCACTCACTTGTAGTATTTCTCTTACAGCAGCACTAGATAACTAAGACACATGCTCATTCTTATAACTTCTATTCAATATACAGGAGATCCTAGCCAGTGCAATATAACAAGAAAAAAGCCATACAGATTAGAAAGGAAGTGGTAAATGTATCCTTATTAGCACAGTGTGAACATAGAAAATCCTAAGAAATCTACAAAAAAGCTACTAGAACTCATAAGTGAGTTTAGCTAGTTCATAGGGTACAAACAATATTTTTTAAAAAATCATCTGTATTTCTATACACCAGCAGTGAACTATTGGAAATTGAAATGAAAATACAATACCATCTACAATAGCATCAAAAATATACAATACAAAATATGGCTGAGACAAAATTTAAAACATTTAAATAACTGGAGAGATATGCCATATTTATGAGTCAGAAGACTCAATATTGTTAAAATATCAACACTTCCAAATTGATCTATACATTTAATCTATTCCAAAAAAAATCCAAGTATAATTTTTCAAAGAAGTTATTAGCTATTTCAAAATATAAATGAAAATGCAAAAGACCTAGAGTAGCCTAAACAATTTTAAAGAAGAACACTAGAGGACTTACACTGCCTGATTTCAAGGCCTACTATAAAGCTACAGTAATGAAGACAGTATGATATAGACAGAGATAAATGGAATTCTTTTATTCTATAAAGAATTGTCAATTAATTTTGACAAGAATGCTGTAATTCCATTGGGGAAATACAGTATTTTTAACAAATGGTGTTGGAACAATTGGAGAACTAAAGGAAAAAAAAAGAACATCAATCATTCACTCATATCATACACAAAAATGAACTTAAAATACATTATAGACCTAAATGTAAAACCTAAGATTTTAAAACTTTTAAGAGAACACATAGAAGAAAATATTCACAAACTTGAGATAGGTAAAGATTTCTTAAATGGGATAGAAAAACTATGAACCATAAAAGAGAAAACCGAAAAACTGAACTTCAAAATGGAAAACTTCTGCCCTGTGAAAAATATCATTAAGAAAATGAAACGACAAGGCACAACTGAGAGAAAATACTGGCAATACGTATATCCATCAAAGGATTTCTACCTAAAATTTATAAAGAACTTTTATAATACAATAATAAGACAAACAACCCAATTAAAAGTTGGCAGATGAGCTGAACAGACACTTCACAAAGAGGATACATGAACGATGAATAAGAACATGAAAATATTCTCAATATCATTAGTCATCAGGCAAATGAAAATTAAATTCAGATGAGATAGAATTTAGTCATTAGAATGGCTAAAATTAAATTCACTGACAATACTCAGTGCTGGCAAAAATGTAGAGCAACAAGTATTTTCATATATCATGGGTGGGAGTATAACATCGCATCTTGGTTATCTAGTGCAGCTATAACAGAAATACCACAAGTGGATGGCTTCAACAAAGAGAAATTTATTCTCTCACAGTCTAGTAGACTACAGGTCCAAATTCAGGGCATCAGCTCCAGGGGAAGGCTTTCTCCTCTCTGTCAGCTCTGAAGGAAGGTCCTTGTCATAAATCTTCCCCTGATCAAGGAGCTTCTCAGGCACAGGGACCATGGGTCCAAAAGACAAGGTCTGCTTCCGATGCTGCTTTCTTGGTGGTATGAGGTCCCCTTGTCTCTCTGCTTGCTTCTCTCTTTTATATCTCAAAAGAGATTGTCTTAAGACACTATCTAATCTTGTAGATTTCATCAGTATAACTGCCAGCTAGTCCATCTTGTTAACATCATAGTGATAGGATTTACAACACATAGGGAAATCACATCAGATGACAAAATGGTAGACAATCATACAATACTGGGAATCATGACCTAACCAAGTTGACAGATATTTTGGGGGGACACGATTCAATCCATGACACATGGTAAAACACATTTAGGAAATAGCCAGACACAAAAGAGTACATACTGCATGATTCCATGTATATGAAACTCTATAAAATACAAATTTAATCTGTGGTGACAGAAAGTAGATTAGTGGTTGCCAGGGACCAGGGTTGAGGGAAGGGTGTAGGGAGGGGGATATTTTCTGTGATGAGGCAAAAGGAATTTTTTTTTCTTTTTTGGTGATGGAAATATTGCATATTTTGTAGTGCTAGTAACTACATGGATGAATAAATTTTTTAAAACTTGTGAAAATATACACTTAAAATGAGAACATTTTATTTTATATAAAGTATATCTCAATAATATTGGTTTAAAAAAAATAAATACTCAGACTTGAGACAAGAGATTTTAGAATAACTCTTGTTTTTTGTCCTCTCGAATATCTTTATTCTTTCACTCAAAGTTTTCAATCATATTAAGTTTATAAAAAGTAACTTGACCCATTTTTACAAAACTGGATTGTGTTAACTATGTCAGCCCTCATCACTGTCATTACATATCTTGCCATGACAATTAAAAAAAGTTGATCTCAAATGAACTATTAAATTATTAATATTATTCTAATTATAATAAACATAAAATTACTTTTTATTAAGCACCTGCTATTTTCTAAGCACTGTTCTAGTCACTTTATATACATTATCTCTAATGCTTCTAAATAACCCTGCAAGGTTGGCAACGCACCTTTAACAAGGTGAAGGTGCTTACACAAGCCACAAAAAGATTCAATCAATAACTGAACCTGGAATCCAGTTACAGTCTGAGTCAGTGTTTTCACTGCAGTGGCCATCACTCAATGATTAGTGAGCAGTACTGTAACACTTAGAAGCACAGAGACACACTTTTTTTTTTACAATAATTGCCTTAATTGGAGTTAGTAAACATTAACTGTTTCCAACAAACCAAAAAAAATACACCCGTTGCTGTTGAGTCAATTCCGACTCATAGGAACCCTATAGGACTGAGTAGAACTGTCCCATAGGGTTTTCAAGGAGTAGCTGGTGGATTCAAACTGCCAATCTTCTGGTTAGCAGCCGAGCTGTTAACCACTGGGCCATCAGGGCTCCAGATGTTTCCAGTAAGGAACACATATTTCCTCAAGTTTTTCCAGTGAATTAAATCAGGCTTTTGTCTCAGTTCCTATTGTTCAATGCCAGTGTATAAGTGTAACACATAAAAGAAACTGTTTTTTATCATAAATACCTTCGCTATCCAGATCATCACTTTGACCAAACACACAGTCCATAGAAGAGTCAGGAATGAAGGTCCATTCATCAAATTTAACAAGTACATCTTCAGAAAAGTTCCCATCACTGCCTGAGGCTGCTCCTTCTTCACCAGCACTTTTCATCTGATATCTGAGCACCATTCTTGCTAGGGTGGATCCTATATCTAAAAATATATTAGAATTCAACAACTGTACAAACTTCAACATAGACAGATATATACATATGTATATATGTGTGTATATATGTATATATATTAACATATATCTATATGTGTGTATATATACACACACACACACTAAAGTTTCTTATATGTGCTAATGCTTCTAGAGAATTTTTTATTCTTACTTCTAAAATTACTTTATAACAGTGATATTGCTTAATTGGCAGTGGTGAATTTAAATTTAAAAAAAAAATTCTACACAAAGCTTTGGTGTAGATGACCAAACTGGATCTTTATGAAACTACCTTGACCCAGGAAAGGGCCTGGGCTTTGAAACCATACACCTTGTGTTCCAGTCATAGAACTGCCACTTGCAGGTTACAACAGCTTCCTGAGTGCAAGTGTCCTCACTTAGAAAGTGAAGATGACAATATTCACAGCATACAGTTATGGAAAAGACTAATGATGTATGGAAAATGTTTAGCACAATGCCTAGAATATAGAAGATGCTCCAAAATTATACAGTTATTATTATAAACTATTTGCTGAATGATTAATACTGACTATTGGGAACCAAAAGGTCAGTGGTTCGAATCTACCAGCCGCTCCTTGGAAACCCTAGGGGGTAGTTCTACTCTGTCTTATAGGGTCGCTATGAGTCTGAATCAACTCAACGGCAACGCATTTGGTTTTTATTGGGAAATTGGATGGAATTTTGAAGTTAAGATTCTTCTTATTTCCTTATATATCATATTCTACTATGAAGAAATAAGTTGGCAGAGTTCTCATATTTTCTGTTTTTGTACATATAGACTAAAATTTTCTTTAAATATTATTTTCATAGCCCACATTAGCATGTTTATGTGACTCAGTGAAGTAGGACCTGGATATGTTTTAAGGTTATGAATCCAAACTTCCCATAGGCAACCAGAGAGCTAATTTCTTTTTCATATATATATACAAGCATTTTCGTATACAAGCATTTATGAGTACCACATCCCAATAGTTGTTTTCATCAACATTAGCATACTAAAAATACTGTTATGTGCTTTTTTCTTTTTCACTTAAATTGTATTCTATATCAGGACATTTAGATTTGTCACTTTTCCCCCCATTGGTGCAAAGCATTCTACTACATGAATGTATCAAAATTTATTTGCACACTTTATTTTGGGAAATATTTAGGCTTTTCTCCCCTAATTTTTTTCTATTATGAAAAATGCTTTGATGTGCATCCTTGTAACTACTTCCTTGTGAAGACTGAGAATATCTGTATCATGTATTCCTGTTAGCATGTTGCTGGACCAAAAAAAGAATATACATTTATAATATTAGTGGATATTGCCAATTTACTTTCAAAAGAAAAAACGTATATTCGTATCAACAATATGTGAAGTTCCTGTTTCTATAATGCTTATAAACATTTATTACCAAATTTTTATTTTTGCCAATGTTATAGGTATTTAATGGTTATATATTATGTGCAAAACACTGTATATGCTAAGGTTACAACATTGGACAATACTGACACTCATTTCATGATGCTTATAACCTACCTGCGAGTCAGAATCGACTCGACAGCAATGAGGTTTATAATCTACCAGAAGATACCAAAAGGTAAAAATACAATTAGTATATAATATGATATGCGTTATGAGAAGGGAGAAATAGGGAGCTATGGGGGCACCTACAAGACCTTCCACCCAGACTTCATGGGATCAGGAATGCCTTCTTGTAAACAGTGACAACAATGCTAAGGCAAAAATGATGAAGAGACAGCAAAGTGAACACAAAAGATTGGAATTTAGTTAGAGAGAATAACACTGGGGAAAGCCTGAAGGGAAGAACATATGAAGCACTTAAGAAACTGCAGGAAATTCAGCCGGTCTGGACCTTTTAAGGCTCTCTGAAGGATGGAGACCTTGAATTTGTAGAGGCACCAATATGCACAGATGGGTATTTTTCTCTAGAAGCTCTATCTAGGTGAAGGTGAGGAAAAAAGTAGACTGATGGACTGATCAGGACTAGGTTTGCCTGGAGAATGCACCAGAAAAATGATGAGTAAAGCAAACGTGTTAATAGCAAGACAGTCCTTAAGGTGAAGAGACAGGGAGTTATGACCACTATACGGAAACAAGGGGAAATAGGGGAAAAGCTGGGAGCTCAAGGTTTAAAAACACATTGAGTGTGAGTAAATAAGAAAGAGCTGATAGAAATGTTACCAGAGGATGATGATAACATATCATCAGTATACATTATATATATAAAATATATATTAACTTGAAAATATAAAGAAAATACAAGCTTAACTTGATATAAAATGTATATATTAGCTTGAAAATGCTAAGTATATATGGTTGTGTATGCTTTTACATATTCATTTAAATGTATGTGTAAATTTAAGCATACAAAAACTTAGAAAAAAGTCTAGAAAAAATGAAATATCCATGTTAATTATATACAAGAGATGCAATGTTATTTTTATATTCTTTTTATATTTTTTCCATATTTTCCTACTTTTAATATGAGCATGTTATTACTTTTTAATAAGAAACAAAAGATATTAAAAAAGTGAAAATCTACTCCTCATAAAGCTCCTAGTGTTTTGGCTTTTTTTAAAGAAACATATTTGCTGTCTTATAACTTAAATATAATATCCCTTTCAAGCATTTCATGACATTTCCCCCACCAAAAAAAAAAGATAATCAAACCTTTTCAATACTTTGGCTTAAGTTGCATCAAAATTCAGAGAAAATTAACTAAAATATTAGTGATATAAAAGAAAAAAACTAACAACTGACTAGTACAAAAACTTGGTAATAAATTATGCTGATAAGCTCGTGTAGAAACAAGAACTTCACATATGTTGGAACTTACTTGTTTGCTTTCTTAAATTAGATGTCTTATCTGGAAATAAAGGACCAAGCCAAGAAGGCTCAATTTTTCCCATACAAAATCCTCCAAGGCAGATGCTATTATTGGCCAGGTCCAGGGCAAGCCTCTGTAAGAGCAAACTGATGATTTGGCTGTCACCTTTCCCAATGCTTATTGTCAGGGCTTTCCGGACATCTTGTTCACGGGGTCCACTATTCAATAACAGTTCCACTAACTTGGGACTGCTCTCTTTCTCACACACCTATTAAAGAAAATAAAAAAGCAGTATATTAAAAACCTGTATTTCTTGCCTTTGAGAATAATAAATATAACTTGGTGTGATTTTTTCTCCACACCTTAAAGTTAGATTGAAACGAAATGGAATATGGCAAAACTCACCCTTGAAATAGACTGTGAAAATGAAGTTAGACTAAAAAACTCGACCAAACTCTATGCCTTAGAGTCCATTTCGATTCATAGTGACACTATAGGATAGAGTAGAACTGCCCCGTAGGGTTTTCAAGGAACAGCTGATGGATTTGAACTGTTGACCTTTTGGTTAACAGCTGAGCTCTTAACCACTGCGCCACCAGGGCCCTGAAGTAAGACTACCACCACAAATATCAGAGTAGCATAAACCAAATAGTCTGCCACCAGAGAGTCAGTTATCACAAAAGAGGTAACAGTATATGGAGGAAAAGCTCATACACTTGGAGTCAGAAGACTTGAGTCAGCTCCACCAATTATACAAGTTGCTTACATTTTCTGGCTTACATGTGCTGATTAGAAGGTATCTGGGAAACTACCTAGTATCTTATATAGGAAACGCTACTGCCCTTCCTTCATTTTTAACATAGAACAACAAAATGATAATATAAATAGAGAGCCCTGGTGGCACAGTGGTTAATAGCTACAGCTGCTAACCTAAAGGTTGGCAGCTCGAATTTACCAGCTGCTCCTTGGAAACCCTATGGGGCAGTTCTACTCTGTCCTATAGGGTCACTATGAGTTTAAATCTATTTTACAGCAATGGGTTTTTTTTTTAATATAAATATCATAAAATTCCTTAATGTCACATACAAAAGACAATCATCACACATCTCTAGTTTTCTTGAACTCTTCGATGCAAGAATCTGAATTTCCACAAACAAATTACCTTGTCTCTCAGTCTTCCGCCTTCCTCTGAATTTTATGTTTTCAGAGCAAGTTCTTAGAGAGGGCTAGTATTCTAGGTACCACAAACACTAGCGTGAACTTAGCAAGCAGAGAGAAACCTCAACAACCTATAGCATAGCACAATGGACCTACTCAGGTACAACTTATTGAAAGGCAATGGAACGATGATGATTTTTCAACTAGAAGATGAAAGTAATAGATAATACAAATATTATATGCCAAATACTGTGCTACCTTCTCTAATGCACGATCTCTAATCCTCATAGAAACCCTATGACATAAAGATTATCACCCCCATTTTATAGATGATCAAACATTTAGAAAATATATGAAATTTGCCCAAATCCTTAGAGCAAGTAAGCAACAAAGACTGATTTGAAGCCAAATCTACTGGCTCCAAAGCCTGTGACCCTTTCATTACCTAAAAAAAGAAAATAAAAAAAGACACTAAGACCTCATTTTGTGTCTGGAACTAGGGTATCAGGTCAGGGAAAGAAGGAGGCTGTGGGCAGTTACTTAATTAAAGGGAATTCTAGAATTAAAGTATGTCCAAGGGATTTGGAGGGACAGTTCTGTGGTATAATGACACCAACTAATGGCCTGCTGGTCTCAACTACTTCTTCCCAGAGCCACTATAGAACCTTCTACTATAGATAGGATCAAGTCACTGTCTTGTTTAAAAAGTCTTTTGAAACCCCTCTGCTCCAGTTCATTCCCCCAAGCAAAACATGCAATTTTTCAATCTTCATTACCTTCATTTATGTTACTTCTTTTGCCCCAAATCCCTTTCTCTGCTCTTCACCCAACAAAAAGATGTTCACTCACGAGGAACATCTCAAAAGTCTCTTACACTGTAAAGTTCTTGCTGCCAATCCCTCAGGCTGTACAAGTCCTTCCTCCTTCAGGATTCCATCCCATTTTGTTTAGCATAGCACTTAGCACATTGAAGCAGACATACCTGTCTGTGTTTCTACACTAGAATGTAAAAGCATGGACAACATTGCAATCCATTTTGTACTCCTGTAGCCTAGTACAATGCCTAGGAAATATATTTAATTTAACTAGCAAATTACTAAAATCTTCCTAAAGTGTCCACAGGGAATTTAAAAGGAAGGAAGGTCCTGGATGTCACCTTTCGGCTAAATAACAGATTGGATCATAAAATGAACAATATCCCCAATGAGTTGAGTACTAAGCTCTTTTAAAAAATCATCTCTATGAGACCAAACGGTCAACATTTACCTTAAAGCAAAGATGAGAAGGTAATAGGGGAGTGGGGAGGAGGGCTGGGAAGCAAGATTAATGGAAACGGAACAACCACAGTGGAAATAATGAGAATGTTGACACATTTTGAAAAATGTTACCAACGTCACCAAACAATATGTATATATATTGTTAAATGGGAACCTAATTTGCTGTGTAAACTTTCACCAAAAACACAATAAAATATTATTTAAAATAAAAGGAAGGAAGGAAGGTAAGAAGAGAGGTAGGAAAGAAGGGAGAGAGGGAGGAAGAGACAAACTGAAAAACTCAATCACACGAGCAGCCATCTAAGACACAAATATTGGTCTCTACTCATCTAGAGCAAAGAGAAAGAAGGAAACCCCAGATTCAGAGAAGGAACTGGTCTACAGGACTGTCTACATGAACCACGGCCTCTTCTACTGTGAGACCAGAAGAACTAGATGGTGCCCAACTACCACTACCAAATGTTCTGATCAGGAACACAATAGGTGGATCCTGATAGAAAGCGAGAAACATGTGGAAGAAAAGTTTAAATTCTCAAAAAATCCAGACTTATTGGACCAACTGAGACTGGAGGAATCTCCAAGACTATTGCCCTGAAATACTCTTTAAACCTTGAACCAAAAATATCCCCTAAAGTTACCTTTTAGCTAAATAGTAGGTTAGCTTAGAAAGTAAAGAATATAACCCTTGAGCACTGCACTCCTTTAAAAAATCATCTATATGGGACCAGATGATCAACAATTACTCTAAAGCACAGATGAGAAGGTTGGAGGTCAGTGAGATTAGGTTAACGATAACAGAACAACTAGAATGGAAATAATGAGAAGAATAATGTGAAGAATGTAACCAATGTTACTGAACAATATATGTGCAAACTGTTGAACGGGAACTTATTTTGCTGTGTGCACTTTCACCAAAAATACAATATTTTTTTTAAAAAATTCAATCACAAATGCTTTATCTTGTGGTCCAGCAAACTATTATCTCTAAGTTATAGCACGTACTGACAACCTTGTACTAAGATGATTTATGTTTTATCTCCTCCCCTGCCTCCCACACAAACATATGTAAAGAAACTATCTTGAAATAAGAAACTCCTTTTATATTCTCTACTTATATCTAGTACTATGCTTGTGCAAAGGAGATACTCAGTACATTTTTATAGAAGAAATTTTCCTTAAGGATTACAAACTCTCCAAGCCGTTTTTAGGTATATGGTGCCATGAAGAAATATATTAAAAAATTGTATCAGACAAAAGAAATAAATGCCAGTAAGAAGATAAAAAATAATTCCTTTAAATCTCACATATATAGTTCTTCCTCTTAGAATACTCACACATTTTTCTGAAAATAGTTTCAACTTCATGACAGAAAAAAAAAAATACTGCTTAGAAATACCCAGTTTAGCATTTAAGTAGTAATGAAGAAAATTCAGAATATAAACAAAGATTTTCAAAAGTGTAATTTACTCCGTTACAATCTTCTTTTCCATTTTACAATTTATAATTAATATATGTGACAATCAAAACCAAATTCTTCAATCTACCATTGAAGATTAAATGAACAACCCTACCACCACCACAAATCTGCTGTGGGATTAAGAGCAGTCACTGAGGAGGCAGATTTTCCACAATTTATCAGGAAAGAGACTGCAGGCAAGTTACCTCTCTGGGACCTAATTCTTCACCTGTATAATGAGAATGGAGTCCCTGGGTGATGCAAACGGTTAAGCACTCAACTACTAGCCAAAAGGTTGGCAGTTTGAACCCACCCAGAGACACCTCAAAAGACAGGCCTGGCAATCTGTTTCTGAAAGGTCACAGCCTTGAAAACCCTATGGAGCAGTTCTACTCTGCACACATTGGGTCGCCATGAGTCAGAATCCACTCCATGGCAACTAACAACAACAATAATAAGATAATACTAAGGCCTAGACATGAGTTGTTATGAGGATTAAAATGCGTATTCACAGGTGGTAATGAGCACCACAGAGGAGTTGGCTATTATTGTTAGTTAGACTGTTATACTTGCTCTTTCCATCATGAGTTGATGAATACTACCTTCATTCTCACTATTAATCCTCCATATTCCTCTCTAGCAATGATATACATTACAATCTTAAACTCTCCTCGGAATGCCTAACTTAATTAACTCCATCCTTGCTCTGAATAGCCCTTAATTATGCAGCCTCTCGGTACATGAATAAATAATCTTGATTATTTTCCACTGGTACAAAATGAGGTACAATCAATTCATCCATATTTAATCGATATTTATTTTTTGCTAGATACAAATAATGTTTAGTAACTAGGATTGATTTTTTAAGGTTAGTATATAATCCATGTATGTAAAGATCTGATTTCGTTTCAAGAAGAGAAGATGTAAATATGCACATTAAGTCCAAAAGAACATGGGAAGAGAAATAAACTAAAAAGTTTTTTGTATAGAAAGACTTGGATAGACTGAGAGAAGACTAGACAGCATTTCCTGTGGGAAATGCACTGCAATTACACTAAGGTGTTTTTAGGTATATTGTTTCCCTAATAAGAACCTTGGAGGTCCTGGTGGTGCAGTGGTTAAGAGCTCGGCTACCAACCACAAAGGTCTGCAGTTCGAATTCACCAGCTGCTCCTTGTAAACCCTATGGGGCAGTTCTACCCTGTCCTGTAGGATTGATGTGATTGGAATCAATTTGACAGCAACAGGCAATAAGAACTTGGAGGGAGAGGTTTCTTTTTCATTCTTTGGCATCCCCAAGTAATATTAATGCAATGATCTGCATACAAAAGATACACGATAATAACTTATTAAATTATCAGGAAGGAAATAGTTTAATTACCATTAGTAATAGAGAAGCAATTTTCCCTAAAAGTTGCTTGCTTAAAAGAAATTTGACTAAATTTAAATAATTTAATTATTCATTTTGTTTTCATATAAGCATAACGGTGCATGAAAATGAGTTACAAGTTCATTTTTTTTTTATGTCGATTCTTAATTAGTAATACCTTAATCTTAGAGTTGATAAATCTATTTGAATCCATACTCAGGCAAATGGGAAATTAAATGAATTAAGGCTTAAAGTATTGGAAAATATAGTACTGTTCCAATTATTTAATGATACATATAAAATCACTACTTTGTTAAAATATTACTAAATTTCTAGAAAATATCTATGGTGCTGTCCAAATGTCAATATAAATTCTATAATATATAAAACTAAGACAAACCTGAAATACAGGTAATGTATTTTATCAAATATTTATTGAATCCTTATTGTATGTAAAGCAATGAGTTAGATATTTTTAACGATACAAAGATGAACACTGTACAATTCGATGTCATACAATTTAGGAAATCTAAAAGAGGAACACATAAATTGTCATGGACTTACAAAAGAAGTAATTCTTAATTTTGTTTGGGGCTTTGGGAGCTTGGGAAGGGCTTTATCATGGAAAGAGAATTTTTATTAGATTTTGAAGGAAGGGTAGAACTTTGATGGGACAGATTTGTGTTTGCACGATGCAGGAGGAAAGGAGAGAAGGAAAGCAGGGCCACAGTGTTACACAACTTAAAAAAAAATAGTTGCCGTTGAGTCAATTCTGACTCATAGCAATCCCATGTGTGTCAGAGTAGAACTGTACTCCATAGAGTTTTCAATGGCTGATTTTTTGGAAATAGATGGCCAGACTTTTCTTCCAAGATGCCTCTAGATGGACTTGAACCTCCAACCTTGCAGTTAGCACTCAAGCTTATTAACCATTTGCACACCCAGGGACTACATGCACAACTGCAGAGGGGCCAGTAATAGGGATGTCCATGTGAAGGATGCCCCTAAAGGCATGCAGAGCACAGCCTGTATAGTCACATGCAGTCATCCTGAAGGGAGCACTTTTTAGGCAGAGAAACTAAAAGCAGAGAGAAAACTGTTGAAAATTGGTCAAAACAAAATAAAACTACATGAGCAGGGTATGGCTGGAGAATAAGTTATTTAGAGATGCATATAAGGAAACACATTTGAAAAGTTATTTATCAACAAGGTAGGTAGACAAAATAAAGGATTAGACTGGCAATACCTAAAGGACCTAGGTTACCTCTAAAATTCCGACCCTAAACTCCTACTACAAATCACAAGCCATGTGCGATAAACTAGTACATACTGAAGTGAAGAATAATGGGCTGTAAGTAAGAGCTACACAATGGTAGTCAAGTAACAGAGAAAAGACAACAGTGAGGCCTTGAATATTTACCTGACAAATTAAGGAAGTTGACTCCCTTGCTTGATTGGCGTCAGCTCCCAATAGAAGCAAGCATTCAACCATGATACTGTTATTCTGATCACATGCTCTCTCTAGCATCACACTTTTTAACTCATCATCCATAGCTAATTTTGCAAAACACTTGCAACAAAGATTTAGGAACTAAAACGAAGAGTGGAAATGAAGATTAGAGTCAGCAAAATACATAACATTTAGCCTACAAGTGAAAAACACTGTACCTGTTGATTCTTTTGTTCGTTGATGCTGGAAGACATATGACAGAAGATTACTGAGTCAAATGAATGATGCATCAGAAGCTTGGAAAAAGATTCTGACAATTCAAGTATTGCCAAGATTGCCTGAAATCCCTGAAAGTATGATAAAAATCAATAATAACAACATGAGCAGTTCTAGGCAAACATGAATGAATAAGATAAAACAGATTTTTGTATATGATTCTTAAAACCTGGATGTTCACTTAACTAAATAGATAGTTTATTGGGTTTGTTCTTTAAAGCTATAAACTTTGAAATAATCCTGTAAATACTCTTTGCGCTCTTATTATTAAGAAATATAGTAGACACACAGAGAATAAAATGCTAGTTAACAAACTATTCTCTAGCAAAGCAGGAAGAAACCTAATATTCTGGCTTTTAAAGACCCCTGTCTGAATCCATACCTACAAGATGAAAGTCAGATATTAAAACAGGATTGGAACAGCAGAGTCCGAAGCAGGGATATAGATGCAAACAGAGCAGTAGAGTGGATTTTCTACTACAAAACTGCAGGTTAGGTTCTCTAGATGGCCCAGCACTTCCTCAATATTCTTCTGCTTTCTTCTGAAATTTTAACTTCAAAGAAACAAGTGTGAGAGCCTAGATTTCAGTCATGTTGAGTGTATTTGGGAGGAACTCTGAAAGCACTTTGAGGTTTACATTTTTATAAAATTACTTACAGAGAACTGATCAGTCACATCATTCATTATTTTTAGAACCACTTCAAGCAGATTCCCAAGAGTTGTCTGGGATCTCCACCTATGTGATATTTTAAGATTGGACTTTTGACTTCAGTATAATTCTGCTTGGGTAAACTCATTAAAGACCATATTAACATTTTTACTTTTATTAAAACTCTTTCAATATAAAATGTTAATAAAATGGTCAAATATTAAGATTATTATTTTGAGTTCTTAAGATGCTGAGGTTTTACAAATACTAACACTTGATAAGAGATATAGTCTTAATTTATGCAGGTCTGAAGGATATGCGGTCCACTCACCTCTAGAGCAGAGGTCCCTGCAAACTCAAATAAATTCTCCAGAAAAGCAGACATGTAAATGTGTAGAAGGCATATCATTCAAATAAAAAAAGTTGTAAACACTGAGCTGGCCTAATAAAATATGTTGGCAGGCCAAATTCAGCAGTTTACAACCTCTGTTACGGAGACCATAAAATTTATGCCTAGATAAATTAATCTAGAAAAACTGAAAGCTCCACACCTGTGTAAAATAATTTCCTTTCCCTAAGATTACTTTTGATGAATTGTTACCTTGACCTTAATCAACCTAGCTTGAGGCACACTATAAAAAGTGGACTTATAAAACCCATTGTTGCATTTAATCTAAGAAGTTTGTGGGCTCAGCACTTTATAATTAAAAATAAAATCTTTACATACATTATCTCATTTACTAATAATGTCTGTGCAGAGGTTAGAGACAAGATATTTTTATTCCTGGTCAACGCTCTCATTTATGAAAGTATTTGCTGAGTGTGGTTTATGAAAGATGCAAACTCCATTACTATAAAAACCACAATGAAGGCAGAAACTCCTAAAGAAACAATTAATTTTGCTAATATAAGAAATACCTGAAACAGATTTATTTCTTAATCTTCCCTGAATTAACTACCTTAGGACAAATCTTGGATTCCTTATAAAAAACATTTATTATATACCACATTTTAAATTTTGCTGGATGAAAAATGCTAAAAATACTGTTTCACTAAAAAAAAAAAAAAAAAAAAAAATCAAGAGGCAATTACTAGAGGTAAGCAACCCACAATAAAAACTTCTATTTATCTAAAATCTAAGAAAGTAAAGCTCAGCTAGTTGATATGTCTTTAGCACATTCTCTGCTCTTTTATGGGAAAGACAAATGGCAAATAAACATGCTGATTTTAGGGATTTTAATAATGAAACTCAAGATCAGAGATTCAATTCAGTCCTCTTCACCTTCTATAATTAAAATACTATGAAATGATAAATGGTTTTCAATTAACAAGAACACCACCATTAATGCAAAATGGGAATTACAAACTGCTTTGAAAGAGAAATCTATACAAGCTCCCAAATTTTTCCTCCAAAATAATGCACATACATTCATCTGTACTTCAGCAACATCCTTAAATCGTTGTAAGCTGGAAACCAGAATTTTTGCCAGCAGATGCCCAGTTCCCACACATAAATTCTTCTTCATAATCAAGCATCCTATAAGACTTAAACCCAGACACTGGATTTCTAGAATAAGAGAAAATAAATAAATAAACAAAAACAATATTTTAAATCTCAGAATTGAAGAAACATTTTAAAGATATCCAACTAACAACTAATGGCCTATAAAAATGTACTATAAATCTAGAGTTCAAATTGTACCAACCTTGGTCATCTGGATACATCTGCAGTGTGTGAAGTACTGAATCAATAGCACCTTCCAGGGATAATATCTCTAACGCATCAGGAAAATGTGCTACAGAAGAAATGACTTTTAATCCACATTTCTGAATCCCAGGATTTCCAATGAACTAAAATCAAATGGACAATTAAGAATATTTACTGTTAAAAATGAGATTTTACTACTTACCTTAGTTAAAAACCAGTTATAGACTGATAAAAATACAAACCAAGCAGCCCAAATACAAATTAGTATCCTTGATTCTGCCTCCTATATTATTATTTTTATTTATTATAAAGGATAAAAGCTAGCATTTTAACACTTATTCGGTGCCTGTTCTGAGGAGGCACTGTGCTAAATACCTTACATGCATTGTCTTTTCACAACAATGCCATGAAATACATGCTAATATCATTCACATTAGCAGATAGATGAGTTTAACTGATGTTGAGAGGGGTTGAGTAACTTTCCTAAAGTCATACAGACTGTAAATGGAAGGGATGAGATCCAAGCAAATATGTTTGATCTCAAAGCCTGCTCCATAACCAGTCAAATGGAATGCTATCTCTCATCATGGAAAATACTAACAGAAAATTTACTCTTTGTTCCAAGTTATTTGCATGCCTTATCTCATTTGTCCCCTGAATATCCAGTGGGTTCTCATGAAGCAGGCTCACCAAATCTTAAACATGTGGGAACACGAGCCCAAGTCACACAGTTAAGTGTCAGGACCATGACTTGAATATAAATATGTCGCTTTAAAAGCTCAGGATTTTAATCACTACATCTTTTAATCTCTTTAATCTGAACTTTTTACAGATGATGAATTGACATCATTTACCGGAATTGTGGAGCCGCTGCGCAGTGCAAATGGTTAAGCGTTCAACTATTAACTAAAATGCTGGCAGTTTGAATCAATCCACCCAGAGGCACCTCAAAGAAAGACCTGGTGATCTACTTATGAAAAATCAGCCACTGAAAATCTTAGGGAGCACAGTTCTACTCTGACACACATGGGGTTGCCATGAGTTGGAAAGGACTTGATGGCTACTGGTACAGTACAGTACAGGTATTCTAATGAAGGCCACTCTTTTCCAAACCATTCTACTCATTCAATGAGAAGAAAACAGTCAGTGGTTAAAAGATACACTTAAATCTAATAATAATAATATTAACTAATATTTATGAAGTGCTTACTATGTGCCAGGCATTGTACTGAGTATTTTACACAAATTACATGGATTATCTCATAAAATCTTCATAATAACCCTAAGTGAAAAACCATTATTATCTACATTTTATAGATAGATAATAAAATCGAGATTTAATTTGCCAAAGTTAAAGGTGGTAAAGTTGGATTCAAATCCTGGTAGTCTGAGTCCAGTGCCACAAATTTAACTATTAGAAAACTATATGTAATTAAGGCTACAAAAGCAAATACTGAATAATCTGCTACAACTGGGTAACAGAAGGGAGAGAGAAAAGATGAGGAAATGGAAATATACTGATTTCATCGTAACAGTTTATATAGCATGTTAACATATGTTAAAAAAAAAAAAAAACGTATCTGGAGAGCACTTTAACATTCATGGAAAATTGAAGATTTTTTCCATAGTAGCACATGGTAATCTTACCTCATTTTCTTTAATCCCTACAAAGAACTACATAGTTTGGAAGTTGTGTAATTTATTTGAGTAGTCTCTATTGATGATCATTGTATTGTTGGCACAGACTAATTTAATTGGCTTAAAAACAACCAAGGTTTAATTCTCATTCACGCTACATGGGTGTTTCAGGTTAGCAGGGGGCCCCTGCTCATCACATTGACTCAAGGACCTCTGCTGATGGAGCAGCTACCATCTCAAACAGTGGAGGTTATAGTGCGAGAGAAGGTTCTGGAAGGTGCCTCACCAGAAATTAAATATTTGGTACAGAAATGACACACGTAACCTGCATTTACAAGCCCTTAGCCAAAACTACTCACATGATCCAAATTAGCTACAGAAGGGTCAAGAAGTATCAACCCAGAATCAAGAGATGGTGAGCTAGAAGTATTTGGAAAACAGCACTAATGCCTATCCACATAAGCACTTAGTTTGTTGCCATATTTTTTATTGTTACAAATTTATCACAATAAACATACTTGTCCAAAAATCTTTGTGTACATGTGGAAGTATATCTATATTATAAATTCTTGGAGTGGAATTGCGATCAGAAAATGTGCATTTTTTATTTCAATAGGTATTACCAAATTTTCATCCAACAAGGTTATTCTTTTTTAATTTTCATTTTTTAATAATTATAGTCGAGAGCTTTTTCATGTTTTTATGCCAATTTTAATTTTTTACCTTTAAATCTCATCTATCTGTAATATTATGGCAAAAAGAGTGTTGGAGATCCAGCTTCCTTTGTTTTTCCAAAATGGCTGGGGAGTTAGTTGTTATAACATATTACTGAATACTACATTTTCAGTGGTTGCAGAATATTATATACTACTTCTATTCCCTGAATCACCATTATATAGCATTAATCTATCTCTTCTAGTGCCAGTGTCACATCTTTTTCATTACCAACATTTTATAATATATTTGATTATCTGTTGGTATTAGTTCATATGAATTATCATTTTTTTCAAAATTCTCCTGGCTATCTATGTATATTAATTTTTTCACATAAATTTTAGAATTAGCTTAACTAGTTTCAGACAATATTATTATTAGTTTTATTAAAGGCACATAGATTATAAATTTTCATTTTTAAAAAAATGATTCATTTCATCTAAAAAAGGTATGCATGCATTCTTACATATTCAACTCTTATTTTGTGCCTCTAAATTGAGTTTAAAGTAGTCCTTTAGACCTTCTTTTAAATTTTACTCCTATTCAATTTACTTGTTATTGTTGCTTTTGTAAATGAGCTCTTTTCTTTGACTACATATTATTTACAACTGAAGTATCTTAAGTATTTAAACCGGGTACATTTTGCTTCAAGGTTTTCATGACACCACCAGGCTCTTTGATTTGGTTCCACTTTATCAGAAGATTGGTTTTACTTTACTGGGTTCCCTGGCTGAAGAGAGCAGGAGCATCAATACATACAAAGCACAGATGCAGGCAAAACGCTGAAAGTCCTATTTTCTACTTTATTCTCCAGAAACAATATGGGACAAATAGAATTCTGGGGCAGGTGACTGAGAGTTACCATCTGTGGAAAAAAGCTAAAAGGATCAGGACATCAATGGAACATCAATGTTCCAGACAGAGATTTTAACTTCAGTCTGAATTTTATTGAAATTTTATATATCCAAACATTGATTTGCTTTAACAAATACTTTTCTTAATCTCTGCTTTGTAAATCATCATTGAATGTCAAATTCTACCTTATTTGAAATTCTGCTCTAAGATTAGACTTAATCTAGCAAATGATAATTCATTTCACTGTGTCTACAGAATCGGGATTTAAAACCTTCGATGTTTGTAACTTTTATTCAGAGTGAGACATGCAATCGCAGAATTTTGTTGTTGTTGTTAGTTGCCATCAAGTCAGCTCCAACTCATGGTGACTTACATATAACAGAACAAAATGTTGCCCGATCCTGTGCCATCTGCATGATTGTTTGTATGTTTGTGTCCTTTGTTAGGGCTATTGTGTCAATCCATCTCATTGAGGGGTTTCCTCATTTTCGCTGACCTTCTCCTTTACTAAACATGATGTCCTTTTCCAGGGATTGGTCTTTCCTGATGACATGCCCAAAGTAAGAGAGTTAAAGGCTCACCATCCTCACTTCTAAGGAACATTCTGATTGTATTTCTTCTAAGACTGATTTGTTCATTCTTTTGGCAGTCCATGGTATATTTAATACTATTCACCAACACCACAGTTTGAACGCATCTTCTTTTGTCTTCCTTTTTTACTATTCAACTTTCATAGGCATATGAAGCATTGAAAAGACCCAGGTTTGGGTTAGGCTCACCTTAGTCATCATACTGACATCTTTGCTTTTTAAAATGCTGAAGAGGTCTCTGCAGCAGATTTGCCTAATGCAATGTGTCATTTGATTTCTTGACTGCTGTTTCCACGAACTCAGAATTTTAAAGCTGAAGAAATCTCTTACTCATGTCTTTGAGAGCCTTTTTTCTCAGCCATGGTGAAGGATTAGGGGAATAACAATAGGGAGCCTTTTGAAATAAAATATTCTCATTTCTGTGTCCCTGTGACCCTAACTCCTCTCCCCCCACCATGATAGTCACTGTTTAGTGAATCATTACTCAAGTGTTGGCATGGAACAAAAGGTTGAGAACCACTTCTTCTAGAATGTAGCAAAAGAAAGTAAGACCTGGAAGCTCAGTGATTTTCTAAACATCACAGCACTTACTGGCAGAGCTGACTCTCTTGACTCCTGTCTCCTCCACTATATCATACTTGTACTCAATAATTTTAGAAAAGTTTGGTTAACTGGAATCAGAGTTATCTATAAGGCTCTTCTGGTACCTCTGGCTTCTCTCCAACACATACCATGGGTAAAATTAACTGCTTCCTCCTCTGTGTCCCCAGAATACTATTCACAAAGCTAGTACAGCTCATAAGTGCTAATGCAGAATGAACATCTGACTTTAAGCATATCTGCTATTCCCCTAGCCAGATTATGCAATCCATGACAGAGGACTACAAAGCATATTCATTTTTCCTCCCCACTACCTAACACAGTTCCAGGCACATACCTGATTCCCAATAAATATTTCTGGAATTAAATTTAACCCATTACATTGTTATTTTCAAAAATCATATTAACATTTTAGTACAAATGACTCAACCATATCGCAGAAAATTATAAAGCTCAGTTTAAACTTAATTTTTAAAGCTTTCTCTGGAGGCTACTTATTAATTCATGATATTTTTTAAAGAATACCAAATCACAAGGAATTATTTCCATCAATTATCTTGAACGCTCTCTTCTTTTCATAAAACATTAGTCCTAATCATTCTTTACATCTTTAGTCATATCTTCTATAAAGACCTAATTTATCTTTTGATAAACCCCCAAACCATCTTAGTTTCACCAATATCTTTTCTTTACACAATATGAATGAATTCCTCCGTTCTCCTTTTTTCATACTTAGTATGATTTATTGATAATTTAATTATAATATAGATCACAAATGTACATAGATATGTAAATGGCTAACAATTGGAAGAAACAATGCACACCAAATTATTTCAAAAGTGGCTATCTCTGAAGAAAGGAGTGAAAGTGAGCACAAAGAATCAAAGAGGACTTACTTGTTGTGCCCTGTATGCCTTCATGGACTGAATCTTTCACCCACAGGTCCATAAAAGAAAGATAAGCAGTGGAGAGGAGAAACTGAGGAAAATCACAGCTAAAGCTCCTGATGCCACTCATGAGGCCTAGCTGCATGTCAAACTCTTCAGTTCTCTTTCTGACTGAGCTGACTTGAGCTGACTGAGTGGATTTATGTTACTTGCAACCAAGAAAGACTTACTTAAGCCTGTAGCTGACAGTACACTTAACTGAAATGGCTCATCTCTTTACCCACCACACCCCTATTGTCATTGTTATAGCTCTTACCACATAACTTCCTACTATCATAGTAAACACAGGATTGAAAGCTTAAACTGAAAAAGCTCCCCCAATTCCCCAAATTCAGGAATATTCTAGTTTCCAATATAAAGTCAAAAAGCAAAAACCAAGCCTGTTGCCTTCGAGTCGATTCCGATTCATAGCGCCCTATAGGACAGAGTAGAACTGCCCCATAGGGTTTCAAAGGAGGGGCTGGTGGATTCAAACCTCTTGGTTAGCAGCCAAGCTCTTAACCACTGTGCCACCAGGGCTCCAGTGTAAGGTTAGAAGACCTATAGTCAACATACCCTGTTCAAAGCTGCTAGGACCAGTTTGTGAATATCATTCCAGAAACACTGTTTTTTAACCATATTTAGCTTATGTTGTGATTCAGTATCCTCCCTGGATTCTTCTGGCATGCCTAAATGCAAAAATAAATATGAAAATGAGTCAATAAAGAAATAGTTAGATATATAAATAAATGATTTTTCTCATAAATCTTGAAGCTGAACAGATCCTTACTTATATAAACGATCATAGTTAATCCAACAGTATACATACTGTACTTCTAGTTTGTAGCTTCAATCACAGAAACAACTCCTAGCACTAAGGAATTTACAAAAATAGTTCATCATTGAATACAAAATAAATACACTGTGCATATGGATGTTTATTGAATTTAAAGTAGCAAGAACTTACTATGGTGGAGGAATTTTCTGTAACAATCTCTTTTTGTATGAGTGAGTGATGGTTTAAGAAATTAGATGATTTTCAAGCAACAGTGGACAACTTGAGAAAAGCTCAAAGTTATTTGGGCTACAAAAAAGAAGGTCAGATGGAAGTAGGAATAAAAGAGCAGCTGGACATAATAGTGGATAAAACAAGATTGGGATTTCAGTATTATGATGGTAGAGAGCATGTAGTTTTGTATAAAGTCCTCTAAAGGGCTGTATAATAGTATTAAGTTCCGTAAAGGAGACGTGGTACATTAAGCTACATTATAGCTGAACTATGTCAAAACCATTGAAGAAAACTGGAAGTTGAAACAATCAATTATACAATATAACGTTGTCATTGGCTGACGTCAAGTCGATTCCAGATTATAGTGACCCCATGTGACAGAGTAGAACTGTCCATAGGGTTTTCTTGGCTGTAACCTTTAAGGAAGCAGATCACCAGGTTTTTCTCCCACAGAGCCACAGGGTTGGTTTGAACCGTCAACCTTAGCAGCCAAGACTCTAACTGTTGCACCACCAGGGCTCCTTATACAATGGAATATATAAGTAAAATTATGAACTAATGATGTTTTACAAATCTAACATTATAGAAATAATTAACAAAATATATAATATTTCACATTTAAACTATAAATTGTTCGTGTATAGTTTTTCATTTATTTAGCAAATATATGAGTGTCAATTATGTGCCAGCGATTTTGCTACCTGCTGAATAAGGCTCTAGATTCCCACTCTCCTTGAACTCTGAGTCCTCGTTTTAAAGTTTATTCAAACAGGCTCTGCCATTCACTACAGTTTTGTGACCTTGGCCAAGTCCCTTAAACTCTGTCTCATTTTCAGTGACCAAGGCCGCATTAACTATTGAGGCGAGGTTGCCCATTACACCACAAGCATATGTGACTATTAAAAGCACGCCTGATGAGTAGTGAAAATTTCATGCCACATGTAATGGATCTTATTAAACCTCTCCCTCATATTAAGACCAAATAAATATTCCTGAAATTTGCGTCTCTGGTCTTTCTTATATCACTTGAGACTCTACTATCCAGAATATATCTCCTTCACATATAACAGTCCTCAAAATATATGGTCTATAAACTTTTTAAGGGCAGGGGCCATAATCGTCTCCAAATCTCCAAGGGTTCCTAGCACAATGTTTTAGATATAACAATTGTTCAGTATATGATTATTGCACAAATGTATATTTAAAAGTGTGGACCCTGGATTCAGGTTGTATATAGGTTTAAAATGTGGCTCCATTACCTAAGCTGAGACCTTCATATCTCTACATCTCTATCTCTCAGTTTTATCATCTTTAAAATGGAAAGGAAAAAAAAAAAGTACTACCTGCCTTATGGGCTGCAGAGAGGATTAAAAGTTAATATACCTAAAGCACTTAGAATAATGTCAGACACATTTTAAGTCCTTCATATTATTATCTGTTGTAATATACCCATTGCTGTCGAGTCAGTTCCAACTCACAGAGACCCTATAGGACAGGGTGGAACTGCCCAATATGGTTTCCAAGAAGCAGCTGGTGGATTTGAACTACTGACCTTTTGGTTTGTGGCCGACCTCTTAACCACTGTGCCAGCAGGGATCCTTCTTATTGTTAGGTATTACTATTGTTATTAGATATAAATGAGAAAATTTTAATACAATTGTTGTATCCCCCTGAGTCTCTTCTCCTGACTAAAGAAAATCAGTTCCTCCTATTGCTCTTATTAACGTGGTTTTATATTCCTACTCACTCTCCTCTATACACTTCCCAATTTGCCTATGTTCCTTCCTAAAGAATTTTAAATTATTTCCTCCAGATTTAACACTAAGACAAGAAAGAACACATCAAATGATATTTCATATAACCTGTTGAAAATACTTTATTAAAATAATTATATCTTTACTTCTATTTTATTAAAGCAATTGGCTCAGTTTCTTCAATAAGTTAGTGTTATACAAAAATGGAGGGGGTGGACAGTGCTAGATCGAAAGAAATTTAAGGAACATAACACCAGATGCACTATGTGGTCCTGGATTGGTTTCTGAATTAGACAAATTTGCTGTTATGCACAACTTTGCTAAAATTAAGAACATATGAATATGGTCTAGTGAATAAATGAGTAAATATGCACTCAAGTATGTTAAAAGCACCTCAATTTAGTATGTTCAAACCAAAAATCATATTCAGTCTCAGAACTACTGGAATACTGAGAGCATAGCTACTCATTGATATGTATAATGGTGTGGTGTGGTGTGATGTGGTGTGACGTGGAAGCATAGAGAAGGTAGATGGTTAAGCATTTACCTAATTGAGAAATGTATTTATATACTAATATGTTTATAAAATGTGTCTATATACTGATACGTAATTTATACTAATATGTTTATAAAATGTGTCCATATATGAAGTATACCCCTAAAGTAACAAATTTATTTTCAAGGGCACTTGCAATCTAAATTATCATTGAATGTCAATGTAATTTTATTTTTAGTAGTGTAATTATTCCTCAGAACATTGTTTGAGTTGCTTTAGTGTCAATTTAAAAACTATAAGAGAAAAAAATTATATTCAAAACTTGTTTTTGAAACCAAGAGTATTATTTTATTATCTAAAAGATTTGGTTCTTAATTGTCACTTAAGGATAATTAATATATATATATATATTACAATCTAAAATTGAGATTCAAAATAAGAGTTACAATAATATTTTTTAGCAAAATTATATGTTAAATTATGTCTCAAAAAAGCTAAAAGACAACTATGAATAGGATACCATGATTCAATTCAAGAAATACTGGTTTGACAGTTATTTTTTATTCAAGGTACCAGTAATCAAAAGGCCCTGCTCTTGAAAAAAACTTATACTCTTAAACTGAGTATATTTTTATGCTCAGAAACATAAAATACATAAAACATAAAATACACGACTATAAAAAATGATAGATTTTTAAAAATTTCATTTAAACAGGACAAAAAAATAACTGGACTTCAAAAGAACTCGGAATTCTACAGAACAAAAAGAAGTGTCATCCTTCATAGCAAGTCACAAAGTCGGGTGAAGTATAACTCCTCAGCTTCTCTCAAATCCATCCTCTCTTTCCATTGTCGGGCCCTCTCATCATGCCTTACTCAATTATCAGTGGCTTCCTTCCTTTATTGTTGTTTGGTGCCATCAAGTTGATTCCAACTCATAGTGACCCCATATGACAGAGCAGAACTGCCCTGTAGGGTTTTCACGACTATAATCTTTATGGAAGCAGATCTCCACTTCTTTTTAAGGCCGCTAGGTGGCATTGAACCACCAACTTTTCAATTAGTAGCTGTTGTACCACCAGGGATCCTTTGGTTTCTATTCTAATCTCCTGTTTTAGTCTCTCTCCCTTCCAATCATCCTCTACACCACCATGCTACTGTTAATTTGATCGTGACATTATAATTTTTAAACACCTTTAAAGAATTTTAATTGACTTATTAAAAAAAAAAAGTACAAATTGCTTAGCACTGCATTCAAGGCCCTTCCCATTAGGGCCTGTGCCTGTTTTCCCACGTTCATCCCCAGGCTCTCCTCTCTTCATACTCTACACTCGCTCACAACAGCACAAGCTGTACTTTCTTCTGTTGGTCATGTCCTTCCAGGCTAGCCCTATTCAGTCTTCAAACTCCAGTATCACAACCTCTGACTTTTCTCTCTGAATGAACTGTGCTTCCATCAACATTATCATAATCTTTTACACAAATAATAGCATCTCTCACACTGTCCAGTAATTAACTATTTACATATCCTTCTACATCTGCACTCCTATTAATAGTACAATGACTATTTTTGATTCGTCTTTCAAACCTCAGCAGCTATCACACTATTTAGAACATAAGAGGCACTTAATAAATATGTGTTGACTGAATAAAGGAGCAGGTGTTTTAAATGGACTTTGGAGGACAAATAAGGTCACACAGATGTGAATAGGAAGTAAAGCACAGTAGGCAGAGTGGAGCTATTGAGGTTAATGAGGAAGGACCACGTGGTTATATTTTAGAAAAATTAATTCAACCACAGAGAAGAGATGGAATGAAATGAGGCAAGAGAGGAAGTGTGAAAATTAGTTAGAAAGCTCTTATTACACAAGTTCAGGCAAGGAGAAAAGAAAAAAAAAAAACTTGAACTAGGGTGATGACAACATAAACAGAAAAGAATTATCAGAGATGGACACTCTCCTTAGAGTTTAAAGCTTGACAATTTACTTTGTAGTTATTTCTTGTAGGAATAAATTAATGGATTTTCTTATAAATTAACCTAAGGACTCTTCCACATCATCATTTATCCTCTTTATATTTCGCTTAGCAGCAAGATTTGCATTTTCATTGCTTGGCAGAAGCTTGTCCTTTAATTTTTGTCTAGAAAGTTGAAATTTCATGAAAAGTCAAAAATCCATTTAAATTGTTGTCTTCTACTATCAAGTATGTAACTTACCTGGAACTATAAAATGCAAAATAGCTCGAAGTGCCTCCAGCTGCACTGATAATGATGTCTCGTGACTTTTCATAACTGTTATTATTTTGGGGGCCACTGCTGCCATTGTATCCAGGGCAGTATTACTAGAGATATAAAATCGAAATACTTACTAAAAGTACAATCTGATTCAATTGCACAAACCAAATAGAAACAAGTATGAGAAAAGAGAACCAATATATTTTATCATAAAAGGCTATGTGAAAATGCATTTAAATTCATTAATATGAGCAGACATAATTTTAATTATTGTTTGATAAAACTTTGACCTCACGAAGGAGAATTCACAAAACCAAAAAAAAAAAAACCAAACCCATTGCTGTCAAGTCGATTCTAACTCAAAGCAACCCGATAGGACAGAGTAGAACTGCCCCATGTGGTTTCCGAGGAGCACCTGGTGGATTCGAAGTGCTGACCTTTTGGTTAGCAGCTGTAGCTCTTAACCACTATGCCATCAGGGTTTCTGTAGAATTTACATTAACCTGGAAATTTTTTTACTTAGTTTCATAAAATGAAACAACTTCCTTCTGATCTGCATATGGGTCATTGGCAACCATACTGGGAGGTAGATGATATTATCCCCATTTTTTCAGATGAAGAACTGAGGCTGACTGAGGTTAAATATCGAAGTCCTATCCCTAGCAAATGGAAGAGCCAGGGTTGGAACCAAAATTCATCTGACCTCAAGGCAAGGGCTCTTCACATCATACCAACCAACCTCCTTCCAGATTAACATCACTGGCCTTCTTACATGGTATTCTTAATTAGTTTTAATCTGCACTGAAGTCTTCATTTCTCGAAGGTATTATAGGTACTGTAAGATATCATAGCCATAGTACTAGCAGGTACTATGAACTTGAATACAGGCAGTCCTGGCTTTGCACGGTGCTTTGCTAACTGAAACTTATGCAAATCAGGACTACGTCTTTGTCCGGCATGGTTTCACGTAAAAAACAAAAAACCAAACTCATTGTCGTCAAGTCAATTCCAACTCATAGTGACCCTACAGGACAGGGTAGAACTGCCCCATAGAGTTTCCAAGGACTGCTGGTGGATTAGAACTGCCGACCTCTTGGTTAGCAGCTGTAGCACTTAACCACTACGCCACCAGGGTTTCTGGTTTCATGGTAACTAAGTAATATTCCCTCTTCTCCGTCTTAAAGTCCCAGTTTAAACACATCCCCTCTTGAGGTCGCCCTCCTTTGGTAACCCCAGCTGCTCTTACCAATGTGTTTTTGTACTTTGCTGCTATTGCATTATCACACTGCACTGTAATTATCTGTTTACATATCAGTTTCCCCCACTAGACAGTGACTTTTTAAAGGACAGGTATGTTATCAGAATTAACTTAGAAGTCCAGGACCTGAACGATACAAATTTTACATATGAAGAAACAGCCAGAAACATTAAATGGTTTGCTCAGAATCTACAGAATCCTAAACTGAAAGTTATTCCACTGTGGTTTTTCCTTATTTGTAAAGGTTCACACACATTTAGTCTCATAAAAATCACCACTTAAGATAAATTTTTCATTTACATGTTCAAGAGCAACTTTAAACTTCACTTTAAATAAGCAGAATATGACTTACATATAAACAGATTATTTAAACTGATGTTAAAAACCAGTGTAACCCCATTCCTTACAAGTCTATAGGCCTGTTACGAACAGTTTGTCATACTATATGCATTTTATTCATAGCTTTATGATAGCATTAATAATAATTGCTTTGATTTATTGGGTGCTTACAATATGACAGGCATTATCCTGATCCCTTTATAAAATTAATTTTTTATCCTTACATTATACATTTATAATTTGTGAAGTTGTTATTATTATTCCTCTTTACAGAGGAAGAACCTCAAGTTTACAAAAGTTGGTCCAAGTTAGTGGCTAAGCCAGGGCTGAAAATCAGTTTTTACTACAAAATCTATGCCATTTAATTTTCTTTTACACATGATGGTTTCCTAATAGGTTCTTTTTGTCTGTAATTTACTCAGACAATGCCAAAATTGCCTCGCTTTTTTTGTATAATAAAATGCCAGGAGGTGCTGAGATACTCTTCAGTAGTCACTTACTGTACATAATTCAGTTTTGGTCTTTTAAACAGATTTTTTTTAAACCAGCAATTCTGTGCCAACCTACCCCATCTGCCCCCAGATAAAGAATCTTGTCCTATTGTACCACTAACCAGTCATGTAATCTTAACATTTCTGGATTTAGAGTAAACAAAAAAACCCATTGCCATTGAGTTGATCCCAACCCAAAGCAATCCTGTAGGACAGAGTAGAACTGACCCATAGGGTTTTCAAGGAGCACCTGGTGGATTCGTACTGCTGGTTAGCAGCCATAACTCTTAACCACTACACCCCCGGGGTTTCTGGATTTAAAGTAGATGATATTAAAACCTTTCTCAGCTAAGGAATGAAAGCAAGAACAGAAGATAAAGTTAATTCAAATGAAGGAGTAATAATAAAATATTGGTTGTGAAAAAGCAACAATTAGAAGCCTTATCCTGATTTTATCTTTTCTTTTATACCTTTCACACCTACAGAATAATTTCAAACACTTGCATGATATGTGGTATTGTCATGGTTTGAATTGTGTCCCCCAAAAAAATGTGTGCATCAATTTGGCTAGGCCATGATTCCTGGTACTGTATGATTTTCCTGTATGTTGTAAACCTGCTTCTATGATGTTAATGAGGGAGGATGGGGGGCAGTTGTGTTAGTAAGGCAGGACCTGATCTACAAGACTGGATTGTGTCCTGAGGCAATCTCTTGAAATATAAAAGACAGAAGTGAGCAGTGAGACAGTCAACACAGTCAACACCAAGCTCCAGGATCAAAAGCAAACCTTCAAAATATTTCTACAATCTCTACCACCCCTTTCAATATTCAGAGAGCATAAGTATATGATACCTGTGATATGACATTATACTGCAAAATGTTTCCACCTCATACCATCAAGAAAGCAGTGCCGGGAGCAGAGCGCGTCCTTTGGACCAGGGTCCCTGCGCAGAGAAGCTCCTAGTCTGGGGGAACACCGAAGAGAAGAAGGCCGACAGAGAAAAAAGCCTTTCCCTAGAGCTGATCCCCTGAATTTGGACTTTTAGCCTACTTTGACTATAAGGAAATAAACTTCTCTTCATTAAAACCATCCACTTGTGGTATTTCTGTTATAACAGCACTAGAAGACTAAGACAGGTATGTAGGTTACCATTTTTCAAAACACAGTCAATACCAAGCTCCAGGATCAAAAGCAAACCTTCAAAATATTTCTACAATCTCTACCACCCTTTTCAATATTCAGATAGCATAAGTATATGATACCTGTGATACGACATTATATTGCAAAATGTTTCCATCTTTAAATATCTTATGCTTTTCGTTCTTAGAAATATGCTTGAAATATTGATATTCTACTCAGTCCAATACTATATATTCTGCATAAATTCATGAATCTGTATTACCTTCCTTCAAAAAGATGATTTAGCATTTTACAGCCACTTTCAGCCACTTCAGGAGAGTATATATGCTTCTGCATTAACTCCAATACGTTCAGGTATATTCCTTTTGACAACAGGATTTTTCTGAAATTAACTACAAAATTTTTTTAGTGTTGTAGAAATGAGAGCACAATTTCATAATTTTACAATAACATGGAATATTAAAATAGTTAAATTCATAGAAAAGCATATACAAGAACATATATAATTTTTATTTCATCAATGATGTAAAAATAATTAATTTTTTTAAAACATTTGTCACTTTCAATTTTTACACATTTATAGTCCCTTTCTTGAGGTTTTGGTTTTAAATGTTTTATTCACAG